GTATTTGATTCAAGTTAATCCGAAAAAAATGTTTAGGATTATCAGATGATTATTTATACGAAGTTTAAGTATAAAATTGCAAAGACAAACCTTTATATTTTTTTAATCCAATCAGATAGTGGTTTTTTTTTAATTTACCATAGACGGAGCTATAATAGGGTTGCTCACTTTTTTTGTCGAAATCAGCCACATTGTATTTTAGAGGAAGTCGGAAATTGGCGGTCATATTCGATTAATAATCAATTGGAAAAAAAGGAAAAAAACACATTTGGTCACGGCCATTAGATTTAAACTGTAGAAAGACAACCTAGAGAGGACGTATCCCCCTCTCCTGAAATACTCCATTTCTCTGATCCAGGATGTTTTATATCATAATAAGTAATTATTCCATCCCGATATCTAAGGTGTAACATTTATAACAGTCCTTTACTCCTCATTGGGTCCCTTCTGTCCACCAAACGGCCATGATATTCATTTATTCACCAATGTTTTTACATGGCCTAGGAAAGATCACAACGATTAGTCAAAATCTCTTTAGCTGTTCTGAAACAAAATATTTAAAGGAGATGATAGATGGACGACGGACGTCGAGTGATGGCGAAAACTTAACCAGCATTTCAATCAAGTATAACCAAAACGTTTGGGCCTCTAGCTAAGTTTGACTTTAAGTATAAATGTTCATTTTATGGAAAATTAGACAGCCCCAAAAGTGTTGTTGATGATAAGGTCAGGGAAGCTATTGAGCAAAAGAATATATATTATGGCAGATAACCTGCTAGTGTATTGTTCACTTAATTGTCACAATCATGCTTAACAAAACAATATATATATATATATATACATATTACGTTAAAATGACATAACAGATTAATGACATTTGAAACATGTATTCATTCAATAAATGCTTGTTCACGGCAATGATGTTGGGGGTTTCCATAGAGACTATATTTAGAAACCACTTCAAAAATGGAAAAAATACACTATATTTTATTCACTGGAAAACTGGTTCACCAGTTAAACGATGATAGACTTGGTCTGACAGATCCCCCGGGAATTTCAGACTCAAACCTTTTTGCCTTGATGCAGCAGTGCGTAATTCTTGAACTACATCGGTTATCTGGCAGGAATCCATGATTTCCACATTACACTGGGCTGGGATAATGCTTGGCAGTAAATCAGATATAAAATCAGCATTTACTTTGTGTGATGAACAACTTCATGAACCAGTTAGTATTAGAAAGACCTGTCTCCACGAACAGTGCAGTGCGTAATTTTTGGAAAGAGTCTTATAAACTTTCCTGTTACATACTATACATCATTCCTTGTTGTTTTGCAGATAAAACACTACCCTTCTGATAAACATGAACGAGGTATTTTAAGATTGATTTTCTTCTGTTCTGGCTCTTGGGCTGCCAAGGAGGCACTGTTTCCATTCACAAACTGGTAATATCTCCATGAATGCTTTGCTGACTCTATCCCCGCCTTCAGATATATATATATTAATATAGCATTCTTTGATAAAGCACTTGCAGCAGGAACACTCTGTAAATCTTGGCACCACCACCAAACAAAATAAATGTTATATACCAACATTAAAATAATGATTCAACATCTAGTTTAGTAATAAAACAATTTTCTGAGCTCAAAACATATCGCGACAGTTTAACAAGGGAACAAGTGATACTAACGGAGGTACAGAAGTTCCAAAATCCAAGGTACTCCAGTGTCTGTTTTATTAAGTGTGGTGAAATGCACACAACAAGGTGCTTCACTTTCAGTCGTTTTATATTGCTTTCATTATTTCAAATGTCGTCTAGAACTTAAGTAATAGAGGTTGCAATGTTAATCACTATTGACAAACCATAAGACTCTTTAGAAGATATCACCCCATGGAATGAAAGTTACATTGTAGACACTAGTATTGATTAACTTACCGAAGTATTCAGGTAGTTGTTTCGATATTGTGTGGTACTAAATGATATTTATGATATCTTTCTAGCTTCTAAATGTCAATGAAATATCAAATTAACGAAAACTAATGTACTTTATATAAGCCGTTTAATGGCTTTTGCGAAGAACGCTAATATAACCTGCATCATTGCCCGGTCATGCGATTAAACTGATCAAACCCTTGATTTTAATGCTTGTATGTGTCGATTTGATGGACTGAAACATAACAGGTGGGACAAAATGTAATAAAGATGCAAAACAAAATAGGTATTAATTGTGTTGGAAAATGTGAAAATATCTGTTGTTAGTCATTTTGGAATAAACAACAGTGACCTACTTTTTAAATGTGGAATACAAGACGTATTTTATCAATATAATACATATAGTTGTAACTACCATATTAATATATTGAAAATCTGAACTCAAGTTTTTCTGTAATCACCTAAACAATATACCCTATTTCTAGCGGCCCCTTTTTCATCTTCTTCACCTCCTCATTTTTCTATGAAGGGACCGATTGATACGGGGATAATATATGATGACCTAAACCTAGACTTTATTTTTCAATTAAAAAATGCTTATCGGTTATGGCATACAGAAGCATTAAAGTGGGCACCCATCCTTTACACATGTAACACGAAATATCGCCGTTTCAAAGGGTCCCATTGGGCCTGCGTGACATTATGTAAATCATCGAATTATTTACGGCACAGGATAAAATAGAAATCTATTCCTTTTTGTTTTATATTTTTTAAGTGTATCAAACGGATATGCCAGCTTTATCATGCTGATAAGAAAACAGAGCTAAGGTTAGCGACACGGTACCTTTGACGCAAATTTATCTTACGGAGACGACGGCCGATACTCAATCACAATTTGTATAAACAAACAAAAAGATATTGATGTCGAGATATTAAATTTATGCGTTGACGTTAACGTATATGTTTACTGCTGTAATATGCTAATATATATATATCATAACGAAATATATTGCAAAAGTTTAAGTCTAAATAAATTTAAGTTTAAATAAAACACAATATATCCACTCCTTCAAATCTTGTATCAGTAACTGAGTTGTCTCCCCTGATGTTATCGAAATCGTTCTTCATATCAGCCTCCTAAAGAGAGTTTGTCTATTGGTCAATCTTCAACACAGTAAGGAAGATAGACCATACTCCAGCCACACAAATCATGTATGATAATCTGATATATAACAAATAGTGACGTGGTCCTAAACTTGATAACTTAACGTTTAAAACAAATATAAATAAAACCCGATATTCATGCATATACAAGGCTGATATGAAAATATACAAACATTATTTAATCAATCACAATGTGTTTCCCGCACAGAAGTAATCCCAGTAAAACCCGAGATCATATAACGGTATTCTACAGGGATCATTTTAATTGTCAAAGTCGATGCATTGAAAGCAGTGATAGGAGGTGAAATGATGATATCAATGAGTACATTTTGCATTGATATATTGCGAACAAAACAGATTTCCACAATACTATAATCTTACTAAAAAAAAATATGACAAAAGATTGTTTCCTTAAACATTCTTATATCAACAACGAGGAATACTTATTCTACGACGTGTGAGATGTAACGACACTTTTCATTAGTTATTATCCCTGTATCATTGAACGATAGACAATGCGCACAGATTAAGCGCCGGGAAAAAATCTGCCCCCGTGTTGCCAATGCAAACAAACAGTGGGACTTATTTCCTTGATCAAATTAGGGCAAACGAGCATGTATTTATATTTGTATATTTTTGCAAACGAACAAGAAAAAACAAATCTATTTCAAACCCAGATCTACTTAAAGCTTTACAATGTCACTATTATATCAAAATGTTTCGCCAAACGTACCATGAAAATGACTCGAAATCGTATCCGTCAAGCGTTGATTTAATGTGTTGACGTGCAATGTGGACAGATTGATGAAACAAATATTCTTTAAAAAAAGCATGACGTCAGTGCTTGATGTTTATCTTCTCTATAATTAATTAAGACACCAAATGCCACCTAAAAGGAAGCTTGCGGGGATTTCCTACCCAAGATTGGAGATTGGGTTTTTCATCAAATGTTCCAAGTTGTTTTACACCAACCATACAAAATCTTCGCTCAAATTGCTAATGGGGAATGATCACGCTCAGACAGAGGGCATGATGCATCATATTTGGTTCTTTCAAATGATGATGATGATGATGATGATGATGATGATGATGATACATGTGTACCTGATGTAAATAAGCACGTAAGAATACACAGACACGTTATTTTAATTGCGCATAAAATAACCTTTCATGATTCCGTTTACTTTATTCCGTCTTTGCGTATTGCAGAGTTATCTTCTCTTGGTAGCAGGTATTGATTGTTACGTCACTTGTTTGTGAGAGTAACGTCATCAGTTTTTGAAAAAACGACGTATTTCTCACACAAACCAATGACGTAACAATCAATACCTGCTCCCAAGAGAAGATAACTCTGCAATTCGTAAAGACGGAATACCAGATGTAACGACGACTAAATATGTGGATTACTACGGTAGATTAAAAATGTAAACGCATGTATCACAAAACTGAACATATACTGTACTGCGTCATTGATATAGCAACTGACGACTAAGTACTCGAAACGTGACACATCAGGAACTAGTGATTTGAACAAACAGGTAATAAAGATTGTGCATATTTTGAACACTCAATGAAATAAATGTACATGTACAGTAATTAAGGGCCATTCTGACTCAATCAACAACGTTAAACGTTAACAGCATATGGAGAAAAGTAAAAGGACGCTGTGTATGTGTTTGAAGATTAACCACCGTTTCAGGTCGTTTTGGTACACCGTGAGTATACATGTTACCCTATGTTTCTATCTATTAAGTAGGCCTAGGCAATTCAGAGGTATCAACGACCTCATTCTGCAGCATGCATATCAATAAGACAATGTACTTTTATCGTGTAGCCAGGTAAGGCACTCGGTAAACCTCGGGTGACTCCCATATACTGTATCAATAGTGTGCCAGGAACGAGCCACCCGAGGGGTCCCGAGACTCAGCTGTTATCAGCTTTCTCTTATAGCTATCGCAGAACAAACATAGCAGCAGCGCATCCCCAGGTGAGAACGCTTACTACACATATGCATCTTATAGATTTAACACAACAGTACTAGTGTTACTGTATAGAAGATATTGTTTTTATTTGAAAGATGGTTTTTTTTCTTAAATGTGAGAAATCGGATATGTCTGGCGTTATATATATGACGTGCACACAAATTGTTTCATAAAAAGCGTGAAGATAGTACCAAATGAGCAGGTCTGGATATATGATTATTTCCTGGAATAAATGGCTATGCATAGCTTACCAAACTCGTTACAATAACAACGGTGTTACAAGCATGCGATTTTAATTTCAATTCTAAAGTTTATAGCATATACCAGTGTTGGATATGAATTATAAGACATGTATTAAAGGAGCTCCATCCTTTCGCCATTCACCAGCAGAATCCGTAGAAACTTTTGCAAAATGATAAATCGAGAAATCGAGGATTTTTTTCGTGGGGAGGGGTATACAGATAATTACACATTGCTTTTCATTTCATATTTTTACAATGCACAATAACTTTGATTCGGATGAGGGTTGTTTCCTTGTTTTCCTTCCGAAAAATATGGAACATTTCCCAGAGGAATAAGATGTTCATAATTAGAGTTGTCTCCCTTCAAATATATTAAAAATAATATGGAACTAGATTATGACATCAAAATTTTCCCATCGAGTGATTCATTTACTTTATACCATAAGATGTCACGACGACTAAATATGTGGATTAAAAATGTATACACATGTATCACAAAACTGTACATATATACTGTACTGCATCATTGATATAGCAACTGACGATATCGAGTGATTCATTTAGAAATGTAAGTACTGTATATGCATGAAGCGTTCTACACTCACACTTTCCTGATAATCAGTGTTCATTTTTCCCTTTGGCAGCCGCACAAAAAAAATGACAAAAAAAGAAAATGTTGTCTGGGCCGTAAGTTTTAAACCGTAAAAGATATTTTGATGACACTTGCATTATACATTTGTACATCACTTATGATGGGCATTGAGCTGTCATTATGCCACTGTGACATTGATCTTAGGATCAAAGGTCAAATAGGTGCAAACTTTTCAGGAACATTTTGTCGGGACAGTAGCTTTTAAACCATTAAATATAGCATAAAGAATCTTGCATCCAGACATGGTCTGGAGTGCACTGTCATTAGGTCACTGTGAGCCTGACCTCAAAGTCTAAGGTAAAATAAGTGGAAACTTTTCTGTTGTAACATTTAAACTTTAAGGGTATTGTGACTTTTAAGGCCATAGCGTTTTGCAAGGGAAGGGGGACGACTATTGGCTAATAAGGGGAGACCGATGTTTCTGATTACAAAATAAGCAGACCTCTTACTACATACTTGTTATAACAATGAATATCAACATCAAAACAAGTTATTATTCTTTTATAAAGTTGATAAATCTTGATCATGTGTGCAAGGCACACCAATTCCACTCTCCGCATACACATGGTAGTCCCGTTTTATTACTTAATATCATCAGGTACTTTTTACAAGAGGGTATCACATGTTATGCCGTTCTCACGTGCGCCAATACTTCATGCATCATAAAAATCATGATGTTTTTAAAATCCCTATATTTCACAGCGTTAGTGATTATCTTAAATGTATTTCTTCAACAGAACAACTGATGACATGGCGAACGTTTCCGCTGTTTCCATGCCCATTCTGCACGTGCGAGGTAACCACTACGATGTCGGGTACCAAACTGGCACAACGTTCCAGAACAGAATTAAGTTGTTTTACCAGCGGTCACTGCTAGTACAGGAGAAACTACTTCCGTTCTACTCTCAAAGGCGAGGACGAGAGATAGCAGAGGTTTACCTTCGGGGAGCGCGTGACAACTTCCCACATCTTATCCGTGAGATACAAGGTATGGCAGATGGCGTTGGAATGACATTTGAGGATATTTTTATTCTAAATATTGCCAAAGAAGTTTACAATTGTCATTTCAATGAAATGCAAAGTTGGCCACCGGAGTCTGATAACCTGGGATGTTCCGACATTATGATCAACACCCCGGCAGTAAAAATGATAGGTCACAACGAAGACTGCGATCCAGAATCTAAAAACTTTGGATATATGGTCAGTGCTCACGTCATAGAAGACTCAACCGATGAGAAGTTTACTGTTTTCTCGTATCCTGGCAGCTTACCTGGTGGCACTTTTGCTTTTAATCATCATGGAATGATTTTTGCCTGTAACGGACTGTATCCTAAAACTGCAATATTAGGAGCAACACCCCGATACTTCCTAAACCGATCCATGATGGCTGCCACTACAGTAGAGCATGCGCTGGAAATCGGTAGGAACGTGGGTGGTGGGTGTGCAGTCGGGTTTAATCTGAACATGGGGAACTGGAAATACCCACGTGACATGTGGGGGCTGGAAATTGGCCCTGGTGAGAAGGAAAGTAACGTCCATTTGTATACACTCACAGAACAAACCAATGCTGAAGACCCGCCCTGTTATGTACACTCCAACAATTACAAACATCTGCAAGTCGAGGAAATGGATAGTTTGTCATCTTCCGTTGCCCGTATGGAACGTATCCTAGAGTTTAAAGCGCCATCTACAGTTCAGGAATTGAAGATAATTCTAGGAGACACGAAAAATGATAAGTATCCCATCTATCGCAACCCCAGCGCTACAGACAACGGTAAGACTGTAGCCACTGCCCTGTTTGATCTTAAAGATAGAAAGATGGACCTCTACATGGATAATACAAAGTTTGATCTTTCGCCTCTCTTCACTTTGCCTCTCGTTTAGATAATGTCTTGGAATATTGATGAATTGTAAAAACACATATCCTGATAATTATTCTGGAAGTACTAGAACTGATTTAGTAAGATCCCCGGAATGTCACTCTGGGGAGGATAGTTTTATTTGAATTGCCTCAAATTATTAAAATGTGTAGCTTTGCGGACAATATTTCAAATATGTGCTTCAATTGTACAGGTGCAACCTTTATTTCGTCTAAAAATGTAAATCATTGGATGATTTCTGTAATTCATATAGTAGATGAAAATAAGCAGATACCAACATCATTGTGGAGACGTACTTGTAGAATATAATAATGTGTAACAGATAGGGGAATGGGGACAGCGTATTTAAAACAACGGTGCCATACTTATCTCTATGAACCATTCGTAATTGAGATGGCCTATGGATACATCAACAGCAATGATGGACGTTAAAACTTGTATAACAAACATAAAACACAAAAATCAAATAATGTTTTTACGAGCTGCACCAAAACTACCGTAACATATTTGTTGGTCCTGCTTACTGTATCGCCGACACCATGGGTCGAATCCGTGCAAACAAGTACGACGAGGTGCAGTGCCGCAAACGCTCTAGAACGGTGATATTGTATTTGTATTACATTTTATGTAATTATCATGAATGTTACTTCAAAACAATATATGTTCTATTCGTATTTGATATTGTAATCAGAAAGCAATAAATGATAACAGAAAGCGATAAAAGAGGTCCGACAACCGACTTCAAAGCCAGTCAATTTTACCGTTACTAGACCGACAGATTCTGTCAATATACATCAAAGGATCAGACTAGTGGACACGTCTCATCCACAAGATGGTGAACACTGAGCCTTCGATTTTGCTATGACATATACCACCAGGAGTGCAGAGAGCGTGAGTGAACGTAACATGTTACCAAATATACCACTATTTGACGATTGTTACATCAACGGAATACAGATGATATAACCTTCAAAAGATTGGTTTATAAAGTCTGCGCGATACAGCAGCTATATGTTACTGCTAATAAATTAGATTATTTAAATATATTTATTTAAAACTTATATTTACTAAGCTCATCTTTCATAAACAACCCATATTTATTTTATCAGTTCAAAAATTAACCCTCTTTAAAGCAACCTCTATGAGACCGATTTCTTCAGTTTCTGCTCTTGAGACCCGTTTTGCTGTAGCTGCTCTGTGACGTTTTACTGTAGCTGCTCTGTGACGTTTTACTGTAGCTGCTCTGTGACGTCTGTGACGTTTTACTGTAGCTGCTCTGCGACGTTTTATTATAGCTGCACTGTGACGTTTTACTGTAGCTGCCCTGTGACGTTTTACTGTAGGTGCTCTGTGACGTTTTACTGTAGCTGCCCTGTGACGTTTACTGTAGCTGCTCTGTGACGTTTTACTGCTCCGAGACCCGTTTCAACATTATCCGTTTTGGGATCTTTTCTGTGCTAGCTTCTCTGAGACCCGTTACACAGTGACAGTTCTAAGACTTATTGAATAGTAACTTATCTAAGACCGAATTTCAGTTTCCGCTCTGAGGTCCTTTTAACAGAACTAGCCCTGGAAACTGTTTTGGCAGTATTCACCCTGAGGTCCGTTTTCAGTAACCGCTGAGAGAGCCGTTTTTAGTTTCCATTCTGGGACAAATACAAAAGACAACCACTAAGAACAACTACCATCATATCACTGTTTTATTAATAATCAACATATCTTTGAAAATAGCTTACTTTAAACATCCAGAGTCAAGACGTAATGTTTAAATCAGAAAAAATAAATAATATAAAATTGACATAAAATGACACTAGTTTGGGCGTTATCTTCCAAGTATACATGTAAAATACATAGTCATTGATTGCCAAAGATTATGTTGATCTTGGTTCACGTCTAGTTTCTTTCCTAAACATGACGTTTATCATTAGGTTTCTACTTTACCATTGCCCTCCGTTTTACCCTGGATTGCTATTTTTTATATTGCAATCAAACTTGTCAATAAATACGGTACAGTTTAAAGACAATACAAAAGTGTGAAAAATGTTCTTTAGAGAAAATTGAATTTTAAGTGTATTTACCATAGTAGATATGGGCAGGTATTCTAACATAAAAGCTGTGTTTTATAGTAATAATGTAAACATTTATATGAAAACATACGAAACGAAATTGATGTACTTAGGGCATTTTGACGTTGACAGTTTTGCCTCCGTTGTCCAATGTAAAGTGTTGGGTTCGAACCAAATGACCACTGTGTTTAAGGCGAAGAGTATAATCTCCCTTAAATCCTGTGGTATATACATAGTTTCCAGTCACGTGCAAGGTCTCGTTTGTTCTCCAAGTTTGGTGGTAAAGCTGAAGGTATCGTCTTCCAGCTTCGTTGGGCTAATAACAAATATTTGTACAATTATTACATATTTTCTTTAAAAAGTTGTAGGATAAAGTAGAAAATCCAAAAAAGTCACTTGAATATATCTATTGCGAACATTTGTTTTCGTTTGAAATTGAAATATAATACTTTTTTATATAAATTTGTTTACGACAACATGGAACATTCTAGTTGGTAATTGTAAAATGATTTTAGTAAATCTTTAATATCGGCACCGGTCAATTGGTGAAAAGGATGTTGCAGTTAAATTATTTCTACGACAAGAGGTCTACAAACAAAAATCCTCTCATAACGATTACTGATAATGGAAATTGAAAAAATGAAAACACCGGAGTTAACAGAAGGGCAGAAAAGAACATGATTAAAAGTAGAAACAACAACGTCAGCCGGAGATTAAGGGCCTAAAACCCTTTCGAAACATTTGAACGTCTAGAAGAGAGTTCGACCCATTGCCATGAGCCACTTGAGTTCCCAGTTGAAAAGGACCAGGCTATTAAAATCCATAGATTTACCTTATCCGGGGTCAGAGCCTTTTTCTTTGCTAAGATTCATGCTGTGCCTTTCTATGTGAAATACAAAACAGAGTTGCAATACAGGTAGGCTGCAATCATGAACAATTGCAGAAGAAACAGAAACTGAGACCTTTTGCCTCAATTATGCCTCAATTATGCCTCAATTATGCAATACCTCCACATTATGGCCAGTAGCCAAGGCCGATTCGGGTATCCAGATCCGACCGTCCCAGTAGCCCCAGAGCAGGACGCCCTCCACGGCCGGGTGACTAATGAACAGTGTTAGCATGTCCTCTAGTGCATCGGCTTTAATAGCTTCATTCGACTCTTCAACAGTGAACTCGGTGATCCAGATAGGAAGACCAGCCTCTGCTATCTTATCTAACCGATACTAATATAAAAAAAAAAAAATGCAATATATTTTTGGTAAAATTAGGAAGTAAGAAAAATATTTGGTAGAGTACCGATTAATCCATCACAGCTAGTTAATAGTTTGTTGATATGATGCATAATGCTTTTGAAAGAGCGTCACGATCTATATTATATGTTGAAAGTTTTATCCCTTGATAACACTTACATTACCTTTTCATATAATGATCAAATGCATTATACATATAGGTGTATCTGATGTTGTCGATATCTAAATATGTTTTAAACCGAAGTTTAAATCAAATCACTTCTAAAGAAATGATCCAAAAACTGGCCATAGTAACTTTATTAAATTTACTTATTAAGGGGGAACAATCCCCGTCCAACTGTAGACAAAACAATAGACAACTTCAAAAAGTGTTTTTTTTTCCTACAGTAACCTCCCCTGAATTTCATTTGGAATATAACTGAAGTGTCATAGGACCAAGGAAATAACGTCTATCAGGTAGGTCAGCTGGTTAGAGTAGAGTAGGGTACAGGCTTCAAATTCTGGACTAGTCACATCGCAGTTTTACTTCTACAACACTTTTTATTTTTATTTTACCATATTAATTCCATACTTGTTACTTTCACTATTATCATTTTACGCCCTTAAATGGCCTTAGCTGTTGTTAGGAAGTTAAATCCTTTACAACCTACCAACTTATCATTTCACATGAAAAAATCTTAAATGAAATGATTCTGCAAGGAATGGATTTCGTTTTTACAAATGATTATGTAAAGCTATTGATACACAAGTCAAGTATTTCCAATTTATGGTTACAACGTTCGTTTTTGACATTGGTACAGGTATCCTTAATAACTTGTTTCGTCATCACATGGACTTTTGGTCTAAGCCTGCCAATATCTGTCTAGGATAGTGTATATATATGCTGAAATAAATGTATTTGTACATGTACTTGTATGTGTGTGTAAGTGTGTATGAGGTGTGTGAGATGTTTCCTTCATGAGTTACTTCCCCTTAGCCTTGTGTTAATATGAAATATTTTGTGTTAATTTTTTCATTTACAACATGTCTAAAATATTATGTCTCATTGTTTATTCCACTTTGGCAATTTGACGGAGAGAATTCATGTAAGCTTTGCCTGTTATTCAATCCAATTGACTACGACATCTTGTCAATAAAATTTGATGAAATGAAATCACGTACCTTTAAGGAGGAGATATTAAGTTGAGCGTTGGTGTGACACTGAATACCAATTCCGTAAATGGGGACTCCAGCATTCTTCATTGTCAGCGCCTGGTTCTTATACGCCTAGGATATTAATGATAACATTGGTTTGCATTAAAAATGCAAAATTGAAATTTAGCCCTTTGGCAAACATTTGTTATGGAGAGGGTATCAGATCATAAAATCAATGATGGCACAAAAACGAAACATTTAACCTACAAAAACACCGACAAATTTGATGAGTTTTTTTTCTTTTCATTTTCTCTCCCTAAATTATAATTGATATTAAATTAGACTAATAAAGAACAATAATTTTTCTGGAGTCCATATACAGAATCATACATTTGTTAACAATCAAGAACTGTTAAAGTAGCGTTAGAATCCATAACAACTACTTTTATGCGATGAATAAAGCAAGAAAAATATGAAAGGAACAAGATAAAGCTGACTTAAACATTTGTACAAAAACTTTTTTTTCTCTCAATAGAAATTGCGAATGTTATTGAGGAATGTATTTGAAAAGCATGAAGTGAACATTGCTCTCACAGTTGTCATTTTACTGGACGATGCCACAGCAAAATCATTGAGGAACAATTTCACTCCTCTCTCTGCATGGTGGACCCAGTAAAACATCTCCTTGGTGATATTCACGTGACCTGTACTTTCCTCGAAGTATATCCCGTGAAGGTTCTCGTTGTAAACATCCCAGTGCTCCAACCTAGATGGATGATAATTTTAGTCACTCATCCCGTATCATCTTGCACCTCAGATAAGGATATCTCACGTCATAACTCATACTAGATTGTTCTATCTCATTCGATCTGTCTGTAACCTGTTTGCGACATTTCGCGGAATTTTTACGCAGCGATGAATTCATCCGCGCGTTTACGCCTCGAAATTGACAATCTGCATTAGAAATATTCAATGTTGTCATTATTAGTATTTTTTTGATGTTGTTAGATTCCTGTTGTTGTAGATAAAATATATTTTACGCTGTGAAATACGTTGTCTTCTTTGTAAGGACAAACTACATTTTAATGCGGAAGCAATAACATGTTGTTATAGTAGTGTAGAGGCCATATTCATTTGAGGCCCCAGACGGGATACTTATGAGTATAACCTTAAAAGGTGCGAAAAAAACAATAATTACCTGTAATAGAGTGGGATCGGGTTATCTCAGTCTCGGGGTAAGACTCTGTATCATCTCAAACTCGGCTTACACCTCGGTTTGGATTATAATCTTAATCATAATCTTAGCCCTCAACTGAGATAAACCGATCTCGATCAGTTACAGGTAACATATAGTATTTGTATTGTCTGATAATTGTTATCTTTAAAATAAATAATATATATATATAATTCATTATTATAATGATTGCTTACTATAATCATTAGAAGCCCGGTCCCGATCAGCGGTAAGCGGCATAAGGCAGTCCGGCAATATCCTCATATTTTAATAATTGTAACAATTAATTGCATATTTATTTCTATGTATTAGATATATGCTAAAAATACCTATGAATGTGTATTAAGGTTCAATACACTTACGTTCCCCGTGTGTGCGATATGACATCATTGATATGCGTGTGCATTGATTGTATGATTTCGCTTGAATTCATTCCGTTAAGCCATCTAGGATGGGTGTATTTAGCGTTACCCCAGAACATGTTGTGTCCGCGCATCTTCTTCCTGTAATCACAATGATAACTTAATATATATTTTATGAAATAATAATAAAAAAAAACCAGACCCAATCACCAGCCGACATAGACTATTATACGTATGCACTGAACAGTGACAAATTGACTATGAATACCAACTAAAAGCTGTTCAATACTTATATTTTACATTTTCTAACCGCATAGAAAAAAAAAAATTCTTGCAGTATTTGGTTCAAATATATGTATGTATTGTATGTGTGTTCAATGTTTAACAAAATAGCTGTTCTCAAGGGTTAGGTCAGTGGTATATAATGTTACAATTTTTACGTCATAGTAATAAAACGTTGGCTATGACCTTCATAGCTGATATGAATGCCATCTGAACCTGGGAGGGTAATAAAGCGGCAGTGCCATTGAGTGATACATTTATTTTATAGTGTCATATATTTCGATGAAATGCAGCGTACGGTACATGTGGTACATATATTAACATCAGGTATCATGACTTGGGCAGCATTAGTTCAAAAGTTATCAATCACGATTTTTATTATTGGATTTATGAAACTTTTTGTTTTTTCATAATTATACACCAAAATATATATTCTGTCCTCATTGTCCGGTAAATATATGAAAAGTTTGAAAACTAATTCAGAATCACGTAGATCTGTAAAGCATGGGCGCTTTCATTATCAATCTGCAAACACTTTACACATAATTATATATATACATGTTTATCACAATAAAATGATGAGGCTCGTTTGTTGACATCAATGTAACAGCGTCTCAAAATTATTTAAAATTATTTCATGTGAATATTAAAAAAAAACAGATTTAATAGGACTTCTTTGTGTAATTATAATGTCGGCTGTGGATTTAAAAGCAGTCTGTTAAATCTTCATAAGCAGTACGCACCCCTTAGCTCGAAGGGCATTCACGGCAATCATAGCATTATCTAGGTTTGGATGTCCCTTGAAAACAAAGTTATAGATAAGTAAGTAAAATGTGATAACTACAATTGAAGTATATGATGTTACCTTACTGTGAGATTAATTTCCATTGTCCAGGATTTGTAAACTAAACGACTTTTGTAAATGTACATCTGGATATGGTTAGTACGTTGACATGAATTTGAAAGTGACAAAGGGACACGAAAAACCCCAGTCAATATTGATTATCAGATAACGCTTATTACAATTATGCAAGTAGAGCTACAACGTACCTCTACCAAAAGGTTGGACACATAAGTTAATATGAAACCTTACTGTATTCCAAATTACAGGTACAGTGTGGCAAATCAAGTTAATTTAACTCAAAAACACAGAATAGATCATGTGGAATGTAGCGTGTAAACTAAATTATACCACAAACACCACATATAAAGTGTAATGCTTGATATAAGATAAACTCAAACACAAATGAAAAATATAAGATAAAAGGTGTGTTATACAACTGTAACCTAATCTATTATATCTCAGATGTATTAGGAATACAACATATTGTATTAATTCTAGCTCAAATTACAGGTACACCAGTTAAAGTAGCATATACGTTGAAACACTAATGCTAATATAATATATAACGTGTAAAGTAGCGTATTATCTAACTTGAACATGTATACATGTTAAAATACGTTGTATTGGAAATTGTATGAAAGATTTTTAAAGTTTTATCAAATCTTTTTTGTACAGTTCCGAATCACTGATAATGTCAGGACTACTAAAGCTTAAAAATCGACTACTCATGTCACGAAACTCGAAATGATAACGGCCTGCAGATAAAATAAACAAACAATATATATCTATTCGAGGACGCAAGGGTAAATGTTACTTGGCATTACATTTTGCTAACAAGACTTGTTAAAATTAGATTTAAACAGTCTAATGAAAACTATGAAAGATGCTTAAACGCAAAAATATTTTTTTCATTTCGATTACATTTTTGATGTGGGGATTGGAGGTGTGTCAACACGATAATTCTATACTTTTATGAACCCATTTAAAAATGCAAAGCGTAATCTAGAGTTGTCAACGAAAACTCTTTTTATTAAAATCATACAATGTTGACACAGCAACAGTGGGGTGTACCTTTGGTCACAGAGCTACCGTGAGTATACTTTTTAAATATATCTATTCCAGACATCGACAAATGTTTTGATTTACAGTCATTGTGTAAAAGTATTTCTTTAAAATTCAACTCGACCTTGTTTTGTTTGTTACACACCTGAACGGGTTCCGTCTGTGGCCATTTGAGAGCGTTCCCGAGAACTCCCCACTCAAAGTTGTCGTAGAAAAACTGTTGGTATGGACGATGTACTGAATCAACGATCATGGCAGCGTCCACAACTGAGCCGAATGCAAATTTGCTCCCTGTTTGTTGAATCTGTCATAAACAAAGAAAATTGTTTATATAATTAGATACATGTAAATTGAGGATTGAATTCTGCTTCTTGTTAAATGGCAATGTTATTCTGTTCTGGGCAAAATTCGGTAGTTCTATTGCGACTAAATTGAGAAGATATTGAAATAGAGTTTTATGTATACAATTACAAACGTACAAATATATTTATTAAAGATAAAAACGATATATAAATTTAAAAAAAATAGATATAATTAGTATTTAAATGTTGAGTTAAATATACACCAGGGAACTCGGCATTCATTAGAGTTCTATAAACAACAATTCCTATCCACTGAAGACATTCGTTATTTTAGTGGGGGGGGGGGGGTTTCTGTCATACGATTATAAAAATCAAAGTCTTGAAAGGACTCAAAATCTGGTACTGTACATATACCAATTAATGAGCTTTTTATAGAAATCCGATGGAATAAGCAAAACCTTTACTTGATACATGCATGATTAGATACTGACTTGATATGCGAAGCTCATATACTTTTAGCCTCAATTCACAATGTTTAACTTGATCATAAATATTGATATAGACCAATACTCCTAACTATCCAATTCCAAGTATCACCTTTCTGATAGAAATATTGACTGGTGTGGGCCTGTATAGCCCAAATGCTTTTCAATACTGTTTGCAAACATTTATCACATCTGTGATCCTCCAATTTAGGCAAAGGCGAGGCCCATTAGTTTAAACAAAGCTAGGTTAGCTAGCTAACACTCAAGGAATCTTTGCTAAGTCATATGAGTCTAAAATTTCGAAAAAAATAATAGCAGTAATAATACAAAAAAACTAATTTTGACAGATTTAAAACTCCTGTGGTTTACTCAATGTTATTAAGAGATATACCACTATCGATCTTTAAAAAAAATCCTGCTTTTAACCACCAAGCGTACTGTCTTTGATTTCTATTATCACTAGGAATTTACGGTATTAACACCCAAAACACATACATTTCAAATAAACGTCAAGCAGAAACAATATATATTCGCGGTAGCATGGGCCTACGTCTTTTAAGCGATCTCATACCAGAAAATGACGTTATGCGTGCGTGAAAATTTATTAATTTAATAAAAATCGAAAACACTTTTTCCATCCAAAATCAGTTTTAGTAGAAAAATGTCAAAAGTCCAACAGCCGTATTTTTAAGCTGTTCCTGTTTGTGGGTTACATTAAAATTATCAGCAAGTAAATATTGAAAAAGTAGATCCGTTCGATTTTGGAGAATCGTGTAATCCCAATAAAGTCGAAAAACTGGAGTATGTAGGATTGTGTGTAATACTGAATTATGTGAGATTGTCAGTAATATTATTAATTGAAAATTACGTAAAACATGAACTATGTGAGATAAAGTGTTATGCTAAATTATGTAAGATTATGTAATATTGAATTATGTAAGATTGTGGGTAATGTTCAATTATGTAAGATTGCGCGTCGTGTTAAATTATGTAAGTTTACAAGTTCTGGTGAATTTGTGTGTAAAATTACATTATGTAAGATTGTGTGTAATGTTGCGTTATGTAGGATTGTGTGTAACGTTGCATTATGTAGAATTGTGTGTAATGTTGTAATATGTAGTATTGTGTGTAATGTTACATTATGTAGGATTATGTGTAATGTTGCATTATGTAAGATTGTGTGTAATGTCGCATTATATAGGATTGTGTGTAATGTCGCATTATATAGGATTGTGTGTAATGTTGCATTATGTAGGATTGTGTGTAATGTTACATTATGTATGCTTGTGCGTCATGTTACCTTGTGTAGGATTGTGAGTGATGTTACCTTGTGTAGGATTGTGAGTGATGTTACCTTGTGTATGATTGTGGGTAATGTTACCTTGTGTAGGATTGTGAGTGATGTTACCTTGTGTATGATTGTGGGTAATGTTACCTTGTGTAGGATTGTGAGTGATGTTACCTTGTGTAGGATTGTGTGTAATGTTACATTATGTAGGATTGTGTGTAATGTTACATTGTGTAGGATTGTGTGTAATGTTAAATTATGTAGGACTGTGTGTAATGTTACATTGTGTAGGATTGTGTGTAATGTTACATTATGTAGGACTGTGTGTAGTGTTACATTATGTAGGATTGTGCTTGATGTTACATTATGTAGGACTGTGAGTGATGTTACCTTGTGGAGGATTGTGAGTGATGTTACCTTGTGTAGGATTGTGTGTAATGTTGCATTATGTAAGTTTGTTTGTAATGTTGCATTATGTAGGATTGTGTGTAATGTTACATTGTGTAGGATTGTGTGTAATGTTGCATTATGTAAGTTTGTTTGTAATGTTGCATTATGTAGGATTGTGTGTAATGTTACATTGTGTAGGACTGTGTGTAATGTTACATTATGTATGATTGTGTGTAATGTTACATTGTGTAGGATTGTGTGTAATGTTGCATTATGTAAGTTTGTTTGTAATGTTGCATTATGTAGGATTGTGTGTAATGTTGCATTATGTAGGATTGTGTGTAATGTTACATTATGTATGATTGGGCGTCATGTTACCTTGTGTAGGATTGTGTGTAATGTTACATTATGTAAGATTGTGTGTAATGTTGCATTATGTAGGATTTTGAGTGATGTTACATAATGTAGGTTGTGAGTGATGTTACCTTGTGGAGGATTGTGAGTGATGTTACCTTGTGTAGGATTGTGTGTAATGTTACATTATGTATGATTGTGCGTCATGTTACCTTGTGTAGGATTGTGAGTGATGTTACATTGTGTAGGATTGTGTGTAATGTTACATGATGTAGGATTGTGAGTGATGTTACCTTGTGCAGGATTGTGAGTGATGTTACCTTGTGTAGGATTGTGTGTTATGTTGCATTATGTAGGATTGTGAGTGATGTTACATAATGTAGGTTGTGAGTGATGTTACCTTGTGGAGGATTGTGAGTGATGTTACCTTGGGTAGGATTGTGAGTGATGTTACCTTGTGTAGGATTGTGTGTAATGTTACATGATGTAGGATCGTGAGTGATGTTACCTTGTGTAGGATTGTGTGTAATGTTACATTATGTATGATTGTGCGTCATGTTACCTTGTGTAGGATTGTGAGTGACGTTACATTTGTAGGATTGTGAGTGATGTTACCTTGTGTAGGATTGTGAGTGATGTTACCATGTGTAGGATTGTGAGTGATGTTACCTTGTGTAGGATTGTGTGAAATGTTGCGTTATGTAGGACTGTGAGTGATGTTACCTTGTGAATGATTGTGTGTAATGTTACATTATGTAGGATTGTGAGTGATGTTACCTTGTGTTGGATTGTGTGTAATGTTACATTATGTAGGATTGTGAGCGATGTTACCTTGTGTAGGATTGTGTGTAATGTTACCTTGTATAGGATTGTCAGTGATGTTACCTTGTGTAGGATTGTGAGTGATGTTACCTTGTGTTGGATTGTGTGTAATGTTACCTTGTATAGGATTGTCAGTGATGTTACCTTGTGTAGGATTGTGTGTAATGTTACATTATGTATGATTGTGCGTAATGTTACCGTGTGTAGGATTGTGTGTAATGTTACATTATGTAGGATTGTGAGTAATGTTACATTGTGTAGGATTGTGAGTGATGTTACCTTGTGTAGGATTGTGAGTGATGTTACCTTGTGTAGGATTGTGAGTGATGTTACCTTGTGTAGGATTGTGTGTAATGTTACATTATGTATGATTGTGCGTAATGTTACCGTGTGTAGGATTGTGTGTAATGTTACATTATGTAGGATTGTGAGTAATGTTACATTGTGTAGGATTGTGAGTGATGTTACCTTGTGTAGGATTGTGAGTGATGTTACCTTGTGTAGGATTGTGAGTGATGTTACCTTGTGTAGGATTGTGTGTAATGTTACATTATGTATGATTGTGCGTAATGTTACCGTGTGTAGGATTGTGTGTAATGTTACATTATGTAGGATTGTGAGTAATGTTACATTGTGTAGGATTGTGAGTGATGTTACCTTGTGTAGGATTGTGAGTGATGTTACCTTGTGTAGGATTGTGAGTGATGTTACCTTGTGTATGATTGTGGGTAATGTTACCTTGTGTAGGATTGTGAGTGATGTTACCTTGTGCAGGATTGTGTGTAATGTTACATTATGTAGGATTGTGAGTGATGTTACCTTGTGTAGGATTGTGTTTGATGTTACATTATGTAGGATTGTGAGTGATGTTACCTTGTGTAAGATTGTGTGTAATGTTACCTTGTGTAGGATTGTGAGTGATGTTACATTATGTAGGATTATGACGGATGTTACCTTGTGTAGGATTGTGTGTAATGTTACATTATGTAGGATTGTGTGTAAAGTTGCATTATGTAGGATTGTGTGTAATGTTACATTGTGTAGGATTGTGTGTAATGTTACATTGTGTAGGACTGTGTGTAATGTTGCATTATATAGGATTGAGTGTAATGTTGCATTGTGTAGGATTGTGTGTAATGTTACATTGTGTAGGATTGTGTGTAATGTTACATTATGTACGATTGTGTGTAATGTTACATTGTGTAGGACTGTGTGTAATGTTACATTGTGTAGGACTGTGTGTAATGTTGCATTATATAGGATTGAGTGTAATGTTGCATTGTGTAGGATTGTGTGTAATGTTGCATTATGTAGGATTTTGTGTAATGTTACATTGTGTAAGATTGTTTGTAATGTTGCATTATGTAGGATTGTGTGTAATGTTTCATTATGTAAGATTGTTTGTAATGTTGCATTATGTAGGATTGTGTGTAATGTTACATTATGTACGATTGTGTGTAATGTTACATTGTGTAGGACTGTGTGTAATGTTACATTGTGTAGGACTGTGTGTAATGTTACATTGTGTAGGATTGTGTGTAATGTTGCGTTATGTAGGACTGTGAGTGATGTTACCTTGTGAATGATTGTGTGTAATGTTACATTATGTAGGATTGTGAGTGATGTTACATTATGTAGGATTATGACGGATGTTACCTTGTGTAGGATTGTGTGTAATGTTACCTTGTGTAGGATTGTGAGTGATGTTACCATGTGTAGGATTGTGAGTGATGTTACCTTGTGTAGGATTGTGAGTGATGTTACCTTGTGTAGGATTGTGAGTGATGTTACATTATGTAGGATTATGACGGATGTTACCTTGTGTAGGATTGTGTGTAATGTTGCATTATGTAGGATTTTGTGTAATGTTACATTGTGTAAGATTGTTTGTAATGTTGCATTATGTAGGATTGTGTGTAATGTTACATTGTGTAGGACTGTGTGTAATGTTGCATTATGTAGGATTGTGTGTAATGTTTCATTATGTAAGATTGTTTGTAATGTTGCATTATGTAGGATTGTGTGTAATGTTTCATTATGTAAGATTGTTTGTAATGTTGCATTATGTAGGATTGTGTGTAATGTTTCATTATGTAAGATTGTTTGTAATGTTGCATTATGTAGGATTGTGTGTAATGTTACATTATGTATGATTGTGTGTAATGTTACCTTGTGTAGGATTGTGAGTGATGTTACCTTGTGTAGGATTGTGAGTGATGTTACCATGTGTAGGATTGTGAGTGATGTTACCTTGTGTAGGATTGTGTGAAATGTTGCGTTATGTAGGACTGTGAGTGATGTTACCTTGTGAATGATTGTGTGTAATGTTACATTATGTAGGATTGTGAGTGATGTTACATTATGTAGGATTGTGTTGAATATATAAGTGTGTAAGATTGTTTGGAATGCTTTTGTGGTGAAATTATGTTAGTGGAATGTAAAATTATGTAAAATTGTGTGTAATAAGAAAAGAAGAAAAAAAACTTGACTCTAAGTATACACGCATTAATTTTTGTTGTAGATAAATGCTTTATCTGGTAATGTGCATTTCTTGTTTATTTAAAAAAAAAACTGTACAGATATGTATTATGTTTGTACAAATGAAGCTAAAATAGCCCTGAACTTTAGCAATACCAAGTACGTTTAGGCGGTACAAATGTATGGATGAGTAATGCAGACTTTATCAGTAGGGTTGATAAAATACGTTTTAAAAGTACGTTTGAGGTGTTTTGTTATGTAATAACTAGTGTGTATGATAAGCTATCTACAGTACATGTAAAATGTAATCAAATGATATCAGTGAGGATGCGTCACCCTATTGTGTTACTGACCTCAACAGTATAACCAGATCCATGGAGATTTTGAAAACTGGAACAAAATGAAAAACAAATTAAAAGACACTCAATACACTTGTGTATCTGGTCATCATTTTTCAGAACTTACTCTAATTAGGCACATGTATAGTCTAATACAGGGGGCACACCGTCACGTTAAGTCGAAAAGAGGGGCCACACGTATAGTATCATAGAGGGGGGCACACGTGTAATTTAAAAGAGAGGACACACGTTTAGTCTAATAGATGTTCCCCAACGACTGATTAGAAAGACACACTGTAAAACTGAGTGTGTTTTTAATTTTAAAACTTACTAACTCGAGTAAGATAAACATGATAATCAACCATCACGAAGTTTAATTACCCTTTTCTTCCAAAACGTTAATATACTATATCTAGAAAACCATGATTCTCCAGGAATGTCCTGTTTCAGATTGGGGAAACGATTGAAGCTATGACGTCACAATGGAAGATGACGTCGCAAAGCATTGTAACTTGACATCATAATTTAAAGACTAATCACTGAAATAACGTCCGAGGTGTGATCCACTAAAACACTATTAATCTGACGATTTTCAGGCAAGATTAACATCAAACAAAGGGTAATCCAATATAACATAAGCTCCTAAAAACACTATGGCTTATAATGAGGCACGGATAGTGGAAACAGCAAGAATAGAGGACTCACAAAAGGACATCAACTCATCCAAAAAAAAAAAAAAAATTGTCACAGAACACATTCTTTTTCTAATAGTTCTTTTTCCCAATGTCATAATAAACCTATTTCAACGTCACCGTAGTCCTAACTATTTCGGACGTGATAAAGTATGGGGTCAACTACCGTTATCTGTTATCTGTTATCAGTTTCTGAAGTAGTATTACACTAACTTAACTGTGATAGGAGCTTTCCGGATACTGGTAATCCGGGAGTTAGCTTCGGACTTCCAGTTAGCATCGTAAGTGAGTTCCTCGAAACTTGCGTCATCGACCATGTAGTTTACCTGTTGTTCGTTGATGGCAAAGAAAATGGAAATTTGATGGATACCTGCAAATATAGTATATAACCGATAATTTAGCAAACTTGACCTGGCTGGGACCATGTTTTGAAACTCCCACTTCACTGCCCATCCGTTTATATACACGCAGAAAAAAATCTAACTACAGCATAAATTCTTATTTAAGAGCTTAAAGGTGTGACTTATATAATCCCCCCCTATCTCGATGATGTCACAGGGAAATATCTAACCCGTGGGGTTATGTTTTGGTTGTATAACTGGAGACTCTGCGAGGGTTAGAGATTTCTTGGTTACATCTTCAAAACAGTGGGTGATTATTTTTCTCCGATCAATCCCACACATGTACTATATGGAGAACAATAGTTTCCAGCATTTGGAATATGTTTTATCATGATTTACATAGGACTTTTTCTGTCGAGAGCTGATTGTGACGTCATATCCTATTGTTTCGAAGACTATTCAAGAGTAGACTATTGTTTCTTTTTACGTCATATCTGTCATACCTTAGGAGTTGACAGAGATAAACATCAATGTATAAAACGGGAGATCATTCTGTAAATAAAGGGAGAACGATATTGTCCAAAACAAATGGTATCATTTGTTGTATTTTTTTAAGTGTATACAGATATCACCTTATGATAGTTTTGCTGTAAATGTCATATATACCTGTAATTATCTTACCTGGTGATACTGTAAAGTCGAAACCTACTTCAACCCATCCATTTTCCCTTCTCGTCTTTGGGTTGGTAGATGCATTGACATGCGTGGTATGGCCTTGAAATATTAAGTCAAGCAAATTTTATACACTTTGAAATAGTACAAAAACATACATTACAATGATAGACTGCCCTGATAAAAGACCACATGAAGTTAAACGTAACACACAAACACACTGGTGATTGCGACTTTTATATTTGATAATGCACTGTAAATTCCAGCATACACCTGATGTCAGGGGCAATGAAATTAAATTTGTCTGAACTTAAGTTGAAACAGAAGGCAGGTACATACTCATTAATTTTATGAATTTCCAACTAACTTTACAGGAGTGCTAGTTAATTTCACCAAATTACTCAGTGGAGTGTTTACATTAAGAACCGTGCCACTAGTTACTCAAAACAGACAACTGTGGCCATCAAGGTAAAAGCAAACTTTGGGAATTAAGAAATCCACCAGCAGAGTCAACCATCTAGTTAATATATAAATAAAACAGAAATTCTGATATTAGCATTATTTGATTTCTGCGATTATATGTTTACGTCTATGCTCACTTTCGCTTTCTGCACCCTCGGAATATGTCATAGCAAAATAGAAGGCTTAGTGTGTGCAATATTGTGGATGAGGTGAGAAGATAGTTTTATCGCGTAACGGAAAAATTGACTGGCTTTGAAGTCGGTGTCGCTTTTCTGTATCTTCAAAGGACAGGAATCAAACTTATCGATTTGTTCAGCTGTTTTTACCTGAACCCAATCAAATAGCTTGTCGCGTGCCTTCAATATTGCTATGACATATTCGAGGGGTGCAGAGAGCGAAAGTGAGCGTAACCACTGGAGTATCAAGGGAGTACTTTCAGTGAGCGACTTTTTAATACTATCAAAGTACTTATCAATGTTTTTCAAGTTTTGTCTAGTTAACAAGCACCAAACAAAGGACTTGAATTTACTCTATTCCGTCTTTGCGTATTGCAGAGTTATCTTCTCTTGTGAGCAGGTATTGATTGTTACGTCATTGATTTGTGTGAGAAAATTACGTCGTTTTCTCAAACATTGATGACGTTACTCTCCAAAACAAATGACGTAGCAATCAATACCTGCTCACAAGAGAAGATAACTCTGCAATACGCAAAAATGGAATTGGATGTGGGTAAACTTACATTGAACCAGCCATATGTAATGAATTTTATGATACTAACTGTGTGCCGATTCCTTGACCCTCAGCTGTACATTGTGAAACATGTGTCCTGGTGCCATGTTCAGTAGTTTTACCCGGGCACTGAATACATATGTATGGCCAGGTGAAACAGCCACTGTTTGTCCCAATCCAATCCCAGCGTTTGTTCTGTAAAAGATGTATATTGATAAATGATGCAAATTCAGCGCACCTCTTTCGTTCAAACTTAGGTTTCATTATTTGCTAAAAATGAAGATTAAAACAAATTGTTGATGTAGCGTATGTAGGTTTATAAATCAATATTCCACCTTTTGGTGGAGAAAAATAATAAAGTTATCATTCTACAATTATACAATCTACAGTCTCAGAAAAATGTAATTGATCATTGTCTTGTAATTATAGGTCACGATGGCCGAGTGGTTAAGGCGTTGGACTTGAAATCCAATGGGATCTTCCCGCGCAGGTTCGAACCCTGCTCGTGACGAATATTTATATTTTACTCAATTACATTGTTTCGATTTTGTTTTTGTTCAAACATTTTAAAACCTTTTTTTTTATTTTCATACAATACGAAACTCAGCAGTTTTCGAACACACTGTTAACCATATTTTATATAAGTAAAACACACACCAAGCGCACCTTTAAATCAATTGTATATATATACTCCAAATGTAGCATCTGGCAAAGTAAATTTATATGTCACGATGGCCGAGTGGTTAAGGCGTTGGACTCGAAATCCAATGGGATCTTCCCGCGCAGGTTCGAACCCTGCTCGTGACGTAAACATACATTTTATATCGTTTTTGCTTATTTTTTTAATATGATAACTTCAAAAATACAACCTTCCATATCACACATATTTTTGTGCAACGCACAACGCGAAACTCAAATGTTTTCATATTTCACAAATCGCAAAGGTGAAATGCGCACACTTATCGATGCGACATCTTGCAGGCTATCTTTTACTTTACCTTAAAACATTCATTCTATATGTCACGATGGCCGAGTGGTTAAGGCGTTGGACTTGAAATCCAATGGGATCTTCCCGCGCAGGTTCGAACCCTGCTCGTGACGTAGACATACATTTTATATCATATTTTTCCTATATTTTTTTTCTTTTTCATGATTAATTCAAAAATACTACCTACCATTTCATACATTGTTGTGCAACGCTAAACTATACAAAGGTGAAATACGCACACGTATCAATCAACTTTGTCAATACCACAGATGCGACATCTTGCAAGCTAACTATTATTACCTTAACATTAATATAGCAGTATATGTCACGATGGCCGAGTGGTTAAGGCGTTGGACTTGAAATCCAATGGGATCTTCCCGCGCAGGTTCGAACCCTGCTCGTGACGTAAACATACATTTTATATTGGTGTTTTTTGTTGGAAACGGATTAATTCAAAAATACTACCAACCATTTCATACTTTTTTGCACAACGCGTAAAACTTTCATCAACTTACAAATTCACAAAGGTGAATGCGCACACGAATCAATCAATTTTGTCAATACTACAGATGCGACATCTTGAAAGCTATTTTTTTACATTAAATAATCCATTTCATTATATGTCATGATGGCCGAGTGGTTAAGACGTTGGACTTGAAATCCAATGGGATCTTCCCGCATAGGTTCTAACCCTGCTCTTGACGTGATAATTTTTTATGACAACCGTTAAATAAGGTAATGAATGAAAAATTATTTCCTTATAGAAGGGAATTACAAGGTATGTTTTATAAATTTTAAAATCTAGTAAATAATATAATATATACTTCTTACCTCTGTGTGACCTTGCCGCTGTGATTTCCATGGAAACTGTCAGTGCTGCTTGACAGAGTACAACCGCTGCATATCCAATTCCCTGAAAAGGACGTGCTTTCAAAATCCGGATTTTTTAGTAGTTCTGCAGCTCCATCAGTCAACAGAAACATTGACCAGGCTGTGAACAGGAACACAATCATAATGAGTCTTAAGTACTTACAGAATAGTAAACTCCTATTCCGTGAAACGTTCGAATGACTGCTAAATTTAGAAAAGTCACGTCCTACCACACCAGTATGAACTGTGTGACCTTGTCTTATCTACAGAGCACGATACCTATGTTAAATGTCTGATCGAAGCATGCAACAAATGTGTGTTGGAGTATTAATATAGTAAGAGAGCGTACGGAGTTATATGTAAAGACACATTTACATCAACCCTCATTAATGCATACAATACGTAAAATGATTCATTTTCATTAAGTAATTGTTAAAAAAACAAGTGGCATTCATGAAAGAAACAATTCCATAACATACTTATATTTTGCTATCAAAGTTTTACTTCCTACATAAACAATGAACGCATCAAACGGGTCGTAACCATTTAAGACCGATAGGTCCCTTTGTCAGGCTATAACTGAGTGTAACGTTGCGACACGTTTGATACGTACATTGTTTGCGTAGAAAGTAAAACTTTGATGACACATATTTCCAAATCGATTAATGTTATCGAAGATATTTATCTTTCATTTGTAGCCTGAATGTTTTGCGTAGATCTGAAATGGCAGCGGGAACTTCTTCACACACGCACAAAATCACACAAACACACTCTGGATAAGGTAAAAACTATTTTTGATAGATATCCAGTGTGACCAGCTACTATACATACAAACAAGTTTTGCTTGATGTCAACTCATTTCGAGCTAACTTATTTATTATTAACAATAAATATTATACATGCTTAGTATGTTTTTATCACAAACAGTACTAAAAGACTGATTTTGCGAGCTTTCGAAAACATCTGTTTCCTTTGACATCTGAACGCTTGACAAAGGAAACAAACGATTTCTTATTCATACCAAACTTATGAATCTTGTTCCAAGTAATATATATCTTAGTATGATATCGCGATTTTCAAATCATTTATTTTAAACATTCATTAAATTATTCAGATAATGTCATATTCAATACGATATGATTAAAGTATACTCTAGCGCCCTGTAGAATCGTTTGCTCTCACCCTCTCGTTGTTCTTGTGGAATGCTAAAACAAATACGCCCATAGTATCCACGTATCTATTGACGGGTTAACACCCATGTGGGGCCCCCAAAGAGGGGGGCAAATACAAGGATTGGGCCTTTGGTCTGATGTCAAGGCACAATTCGATATAGTGTAATACTGTGTTGATGATGTATAAGGCAATTAAAATAAATAACATGAATAATGTATGTTTTCTTGTGAAGAGAATGAGTCTGGGACCGATTGGTTTATATGTGTTTCACTAAAACATCGTGGTAAACACATACATAGTATGTTACATGAATGATGGGATTTAAGACACTCCGGTGAAGCGAAATACTCGTTATCCGTTTATAGTGGTCAATAATGTAATTTGCATATCTAAAATTACGTATAATATTCAATAGCCACGTTTAGAAAATATCACTGCAAGCAGAAACGTTTGACTTTAAATATATTTTATTGTCGTAGTGCGTACAAGGGATTTGGCACGAGTTATTGCATCTTATGACGCCATCTCCTATCAACATTTCAATTACAAGTGATTACATAGACAGACAGTTATAAATGATAGAAATAATGATAGGATGTTAAAAACTACATATGTACATACATTTTATATTCTAAATCTTTCGCTGGACCTAATTAAAGTTTGCACATGTCTAAATGAATGACAATTATCATCCAAAGCTAGGTTTCATCACCAAATAATAGTAACCTCAATTTATTTGCATATTTATATTGTTAATTTATTGGAACATTACTGTACGAATGACACTCAAAGAAGAAATGATAGGTATTTTTACAACTGTGACCACAATTAGAACAGTTTGAATCTTGAACTAAGTTTGCACGGGATAGATCATATCTATAGAACTGCATAGATGCCTTAGTCTTGAATGTAAAACATTTAGTTTTTTGTCGCCATACATGTAGTAACTAGGTTTAACTCTAAGTATATTTGGGATTAAAGCTAATTTAAAAGAAGAGAATGGCAATGATTTGACAGTATCATCTAAAGTATTCCATGTTTTCATAGTAGAAGATGTTGTACAGTATCTTCGTTTTATTATATCTCAAAAACATTTATTATTAATCAAATTCACAAAAACAACTGTAAGTTCAACAACACAAAAGTATATAAAAAACGTTTGTCAATGCAGACAGCCAAGCAAATTTTAATATTTTACCACACCCTTTGGCGATGTATTCCATTATAATAAAAATAATGATAATAAATTCTTTTATTTAGACAGGGTAACATATTTAGACTTTCGTCTAGTTTACAATATGGCCCTGTTAAAAACAACACACTTTAAACTTTTACACAACATTACTTACATGGAAACAAAATAAATAAAGCATATTAAATATTACCGGTAGAAGATAATAGTTCAGTGAGGCGCAATGGAGCTTTCCAAGAGTTGGGGAGGTCCCTTCCTTCGAGGTCCATCCACTGCACCATCACTTTAGTAAAATAATTCTTACACCAAGGTCATATTAAAATGAACACATTTTCTTTTTTATTATATTTTCAAAATTTATGACATAAACATATATATAAATATACATACAATGTACATGGGCGTCTATAATCGCCTCTAAATAATGTACATACTGTTCAAAATATTCTATCAAGTATCAGTATTCGTCTTACATATATATTAACAAATAAGTATAAATTCAAATTTTGATATAAGAAATAAACTTCCGGAAATGAACACATCTTAACTATAACACATGAATGGAAATTTAATAATGCATACACTGTAGGGATAATTCAAAGGATAATGTTGAAATAAAACTGTGGCTTTAGGACAGACCAATATCACAGGTAAGCTTTCGCGAATACGTATTGCACTATTTTGTTGATTTAAAATAGTTGCTAAGATTTAACTTTTTAAAAGACAGAAGGCTTGTAGCGTTTCGTGTCTCTTCAGTAAGATCATTCCACAGAGCAGTACAAGTATATCTAAAAGAACGCTAATAAAATGTTGTTCTGCATTTGGGAAAATAGAGTTTCTTTGATGATAAAGAACGGGTAGTCCTGGTTGAAACTTGGCTGACATAAGGATTTTGTAGGTTAATACACTTTTTGCTGAAAGTATAAAAATCAAGTATAGGCATCCAGTTCAATTCTTAAAAAGTAAAGGTGGAGTTAAAATATCTTTAAACTCTCGCAGCTCTTTTTTAAAATTCTCTCTGTCAGTGATAAGTTTGAAAGATTACTCCATACAGAAGAACTATACATAAAATGTGGTAAACCGTTAGCTGTGTATACTTTTTTGGACACCTAGGCCGGCATGAATTTTCTGATACGTTTTAAAAATCCAATCTTCTTTGACAATTTCTTACAAACATATTCAATGTGGTTGTTCCAAGATAAGAAACTATCAATAAAAACTCCAAGCAGTTTGGGACAATGGACAGTTTAAATGATAACATCGTCTACTTTAATGCACACTCTTCTAAGTTTTGAGAGCTTTGGGGAAGAACCAAGGTTAAGACTCATTTTGTTTTGGGTCATCCACTTACATTAAAACTGAATGCCCTCACTTAATTTTCTCTCAACGTCATTAACTGACTCACCTTTAACACTTTGTGAGGTGTCGTCAGCATACATTGTCACTGATGAATACTTTAAACATTTAGGATAATCATTCATATGAAGTATGAAGATTCAAGGTCCAAGTATCGAACCTTGGGGGACACCAATATTTATATTTTTGAAGGATGATAATACACCTTTAAAATTGACAACTTGCACTCTATCAGATAGATACGATCTGAAAAATGTCATTGGTTGTTCTGAGACACCGTAAGCGTCGGGTTGAATAGCAACACTTCGTGGTTCACAGTATCAAAGGCTTTACGTAAATCTAAAAATTAAACACCTGTTAATTTACCATCATCAATACTTTTGGACCACTCATCTACTAAACCGGTAAGAGCAGTTTCTGTGGAGTGGTTAGGTCTGAAACCATATTGGGAATCGGAAAGTAATTTATTTGATGACAAATATTCATAAAAAGAGTTATGTACATGTTTCTCTAACATTTTACTGGCAACAGAGAGGACAGATATAGGCCTGTAATTATTTATAGAGAACATGTCACCAGATTTAAGAATTGGGGTGACTTTTACCCTTTTCCAGTCAATAGGAAACGAACCAGTATTTATTGACTTGTTAATAATATTTGTTAAAGGATTCCATAATTGAGTCACCTGCTAGTTTTAATAATTTGACAGAAATTCCATCAATACCAGTAGCTTTTCATCACGTAGCTCTGCTATTTGTTTTCTGACAAAGTCAGGTGTGATTAATGGGATGGAAAACTTGTTTTCATTAGGGGTAAAATTATTTAAATTTGCTCAACTTGAATCAAACTTACTTCCTATTTCGACCCCAATACTGCAAAAGTAATCATTAAAAGCATTTGAAATATCCTCATTTCCTGAAATGTTCTCGCCATTTAAATTGAGACTAGGGGCACTATTTGATTTGAATGATTGTAAGAAATCTTTAATCCTTTTCCACATATCTTTAGAGTTGTTTGGGCATTGAAGCATACCTTCAGCAAGATAATCACGTTTTGCTTGTTTTATTCTAGTTAGAACTCTATTTCTGGAAACTTTATACAAATCCCAGTCAGTACCTTTTTTAGATGATCTTGCCTTATCATGCAGGTAATCACGTGTGTGCATTTCGCTGTGTACATCATCATTTATCCAATTTTCAGACTTAGCACTTACACGTTTTTCTTTTAAAGACATGTGTTTATCTATGACATTATAAAATAATTGTTCGAAAGAGTCCCATGCATCATCGACTTTGTCGAAGATCTCAATGACTGACCACGGCACTTTCATCATGTCAGATTTGAATTCGTCATTATTCATTTTGTTTTGAAGTTTCTGTAATTAATTTTTACATGTTCATCATTTGAATTGGGTTCCATTAAAGATTCATTCGTGGTACTTATGTACTAACACAGACAAAGGAGAAATATGCCGAGAAAATCCTATGGCTGAGTTATCACAGTAAATTCACATTATATACAAAGCCTATATAGGTACGAACATCCTTAACCATGCGTATATAGCGGGGGAAATCCTTACCTGAGGCAGCACATAAAGAAAATGCATACTGTCAAGCAAAGTTAGTAATCACTCTTGTAAACTACAGACATAATTAAATTTAGTTACTTACAGCATAAATTTGTATTGGTCTTTACAAAAAAGACATAGAGTGTATGTATCGTTAAGTTCCCCCTCGAGCGCCTCAATCTCGCTGTGAGTAGGTGAATATCATACCTGTATCACTGGCCTACCGTCGGAAGTAGCGAAGAACAGGTGTGTTATGTGTGCATGATACGACCACTGCCTGAGTCTGAGAATTAACTTTAGTTACTTACAGCATATATTTGTATTGGTCTTTACAAAAAAGACATAGAGTGTATGTATCGTTAAGTTCCCCCTCGAGCGCCTCAATCTCGCTGTGAGTAGGTAAATATCATACCTGTATCACTGGCCTACCGTCGGAAGTAGCGAAGAACAGGTGTGTTATGTGTGCATGATACGACCACTGCCTGAGTCAGACGACATTGTTTTAATTACCTACACACCTACAGGGTTGTTAATTTCATAACATACCATACCAAGCGTACGTAAATATTCAAGTTTATATATCATTGACAGCCCGAAGATACATATACACGGGTAAGTAATATTATACTGTATATACATTATTAGGAATGTCATCTTCATTGTGTAATATGATGTAGATAAGCATCAATGTGAACAAAAAAGATGGGTATATACACTCTGTATGTATATGTCAATCACGTAATTTGTGAATGAGGAAGTTTTTATTCATTCTATTTTTAGATTTAACTATATGACTAAGATAATTGATCACAAACTATGACTATTTAAGCTGGTGTGTTTCTGAGCGAAACAAAAATTCTCCAGGTCTCATACATAACCATTCATTCGCCAAAAAAATACGGTATGTATATATGTATAAGAACAATTATTGAAACGATATCTTATATAATAAAAAATAACAGCAAAAGTGTATATCGGAGTTAATCACATAAAGGCTATCATTAAATTTAACTGTATTTCGCATTAAAAACATATTTTGTTTGACTTTCTGAATTAGCATAACTTACTAAATTTTATAATAAGTGTTACTTTAAATAGTTGTTTCTAGTGATTATTTTTCATTCGGTGTTTTACAAACACATATTTTGTAAATAAATACATAATTCAAAATAGAAAGAAAATGTATATAATAAAATATGATGAAAGGTTTTCCTAGATTTTCATAGAATAAATAATGAAATAAAATCACAATTGCAAATCCATTATGATGCTAAGATGTGATAAACAGTTACATAAATTAAACGAAATTTGGTATCCAGGTTATAAGTATTGAAAATTTAAAAACTGAACTGCGTCTTCAAAATGGCCAAACATATTTAACGATTGTAAAAAATGTTCTACATGTAGAAAAAGGCATAATGAAATGGATGGACAAATGATTGTATTAAGTAAATATTTGTTTGGATAACCACTGATTTGAATAAGTACGTATTAAGAAATGTAGACTCTTAGTTAAAAGGTGCTGCATTATGTATTCATTTTATTACATTTCATTAATTATTCACTTTTTTTCCTATTTTTTTTATAAATAAATAAAGCATTAAATTTCTCATCAAACTTGCCACTTAATGTTTCTTAACATGAAAGTAATGAAGGTAAATATCACAAAAATGTAATACCCTTTTTTATTATTTTATTTCCCGATGGATACAGTTTTGACTCTTTGTTTGACGTATCGAACGTAATATGCACTATACATAGAAATACACGATAAAAACATTTCTGCAATAACACACAAGTTTAATAGATCTCGAATAAGAACTGGCACCCTGTTAAGAAACGAGAGGTCGGTATCAGGTATAGTATTGCTTTTACCCTTAACAGACACAATCAAGTCCATAGGACATGTGATAATAAAGGTGAGATTTACAGCCTATTGATATATGTGATCATCAATCTTATTTTATTACCATATGTATCATGACCTCGTATATAGACGGCATTCATTTGTACTGAGAAAATCGTTCAATCTAGACCTGCCAGACTAACCAGTATTATGTAATTTTTCTGGTATAGGTTAATATGATCCCATGTTTTTGTTATTTTAATGCATATTATTACTAAAAATAGCATCAGCATGTATTTACTTGGCATCATTTGACATAATTTGAAAACTGGCATTTAAAACAATGAATGCTTATTTTTGACAAGATATGCGTTTGTGTTATTACTCTGCAAAAAAACACTGCAGGCTATTTCCTGTGAGTAGTTAATTTTGTCTGCATACTAAACACGAATGCATACATGCAATGATTTATTATTTGATATCAAAGTCCACTAGAGCTTTGAATACATTTTGTAAATAACAGTATGTTTCACAGGTACGAAAAAAAACTTCCCAATACTTTGACGCCGCTCATATGGGTAATATATTATATGAAGTGTAATGCAATTTTTACGTAACAAAATTTACCATCGGAATTTGCCAGTTCTTTTGACACGATCATTAGGGAAGCATTCATAAAAAAAAAAATGCGAGTTATATCAGTTTGTACTGTTTCCAACGTAACGGGAAGTTATAGCCTGGATTGTTAATTTGTCAAATTATGTACATGCATGTCAGAATCATATTGATTTACTCAGAAAATATGTAAAAAAAAAATACAGAACCAAAAGGCTGTGTTGTATCCAATTTCTGAAGTAACTGTCAGGATTTATAACGGAAGAAAAGATAGGGATAGGGATCCAATGACCAAGGCATATCTTTTATAAACATAAATATTGCATAGAACTCGCAAGTGCTTCTAGCTTAATCTATATGCAACTTACTTTCGTTAATACTGGTAATTTTCTATGTCTATTTACATTCTAAATTTATTGTAATCAGTGACCTAGAAATAAGTATTCCTTAATACTACGCTATACCAGGAGAAATGCTATTACAAGAAATACATTAACATTATCAGGTATTCGATTCAAGTTCTTGATAACAGATCACACGACATCATTGCCTTGCCATCGATTTTGAACGATGCAGCACATAAAGAAAAGCACCAAAACCAATTTGGTTGTCGTTATTCAGAAAACTAGAAAACGTCAAGAGAAACACCTACTGTGTTATATATAAGATACTCTAAATTGAGACTTAACACTACGTTCACAACCGACTTGGAATATGTAACAAAACATTATTCATTGTTTTGTCATCATCCGTTTTCTTAAGATTGAATAAAAACACTTTCGTATTTTATATGTATTAGATCAAACAACAATAGAAATAAAAACATATCAGTAAATTAGTAGAATACGCATGAACAACATCAACTTTGAATTATCGAATAAACCCTTGTTTAAAACGTACCAGCACCGAAAGATATGGACTAGTGCACAATATATTTGCTACGTCACACACACACAAGTGATTGCACCTTTCAACGTGTTGTGGTTGATACAGTATGACAAAAATGAATTATACTACATCATACAAAGCTGTTTCGGCCTTCTAGGACTCATTAGTGATGCAAGGGGCTATAACGTTTGAAATACGAACTGGTCTTAACTACTGTTCAAAGCAAAAACAAAAGACATAATGACAGCCAGAAGGGCAATTTATGTACATAAAATTTCCACGTAAAATCAGCGAGACGCCATTTTGTATATTTTTGTTTCAGACACACAATCTGACAGACGATGTACGCGGCTAGCTGGTCTTTGTTTCCCCTCCTTATCTCGACTCTCCTCGGAGTGAAAGGTATGGCATGCTGTTATCTATCTAATGTTTAACTTATAGCTTATAAATCGACCTACGTATATGTGTCCGGAACAGTAAACTCACGTTTATTAACGGGAGTGGTAGCCTATATAGATATAAGGCAAGAGTGACAATGTTGTTTTTCTTTTCAAAATGAGTTTGATAAACTGTATGTTTTTAAGAAAGAGTTGTCAAGAATAAAGGAAGCATCAGCAATTCATCAACAACAGCGTTGTTTGTTTTGGTTTGACGTTCTCTCTGTGTATCTCTAGAATAAAGTAAGACGCTGTCCACAGAAGGCAGGGACACTCAATGACTAGTTTACCAAAGTCTGATGGAAATGGCTATATGCTGCAGTAAAATGTTTACATTTGTCTTTCTGCATAGACAAACCTAATTTTCAATTATACATGTAGATGCTTACTTAATTTGTATCTTTAGCAATAAGATATAAAGTGCAATCTCACTGAAATATCATAACCTAGACACGATAGTGTGACACTTCATACGGACTCTCTATACTGACAACGGTCTTACCTGTCTTTACCGCGACCACTTTAAAGCTACACGTAAAATATAGCATCGTAAAGACGAATTTCAGGATTTTGGTTTGTCAGAAAACATATAATTTGACTCACGTAACTGAAAGCTCGACACCAATATCAAAAGCGGGGTACTGACAAGTAAGGTTTAAGAAAACGAAAGTAAAGGTAACTTTATCTTATTTCCATCTAAGACGAGGCCGGATGATACTAATTGGGGTCGTTAAGATCAACGTAGGAAAACACTGTGATACTGTGATTGATGAAAAACAAATACATGTATTGCCTAACATCTTTCAACAAAGGTTGAAGTAAACTTAATAACTATGTTTTTTTAGGAATTCGATATTTTAATATATTGAATACCAGCATATGTTATTATATTTTATTCAATAACAACTTCTAATTAAAGGGAATACCTCGACTTTCTCGTCGTCGTTTAAATTCTACTGGCAGTCATAAATTATTAACGTCCATGCCTTGTTTATGACGTCATCTCTATCATGAAGTTATAATTATAACATCTAATGCTATTGATATACTAGTTAATTTATGTCTGTTTAGTCCACAGCCAGAGTCCCAATTACACAGGCATTTTTTCAAAATTGATCTAAAGATTACAAGAAATCTGACATAATAAGTTTTCAATTGACGTGTTGTACTTATCGAAAAAATCTCGAAAAGAAGATTATCTCGAAAATAAACGCTTAGAAAGTTAATCGTTATATTACATGTTGGAGGCAGATGACCACAAATTGACATCAACCCAATTAAATGGAATTTGCCTATTTCTGATGTTAAGAAAGTTGGCTAAAAACTTTAACCATCAAAATTTATTTCGTGTATACCCTGGTATTTTAAGTGCTGTCGGGTTTTATCTTTCATTGGAAGTAAGATCGATGTTTAAACTCAAGACCGAAACGATATGGGCGACTTTAGGAGTCGCTGGATCTATCCGATTCAAGGGGAAACGCCAGGCCTTGTGTATAAACAGTCATTAAACTCAAGTACATTGTATATCAATATCTATTTGTATTTGCAACATAGTTCTCGGCCAGCCTCTCGTTAAGTAAGCTTTATTCAGTTTACCTTAGCAACGATGTGAAAAATCAATCGTAGGTGAATGATTTATATCGATTTATATTTTTAGTTCGTTTAAACTTTTCAGACTTCATCTAAGCAAACATAAATTTCTTACGAAAAACTGGTGCAAAGAATGTATTACCTTTTTGTTTTCAAGCCTTACATATTGGTTTTAGATATCTAGTGTATTTTTGAGTTTGTATATGGACAAATGTTCCTTCTCCAAGTCATAAACTAAACCTGATATAGATAATGCTAACTTGTACATACAGAGATGCGCCAAGCAAATCGCTAGATGTTGAGCGTTCGCCTAGGTGAGGTAGGCAATGAATTCTGTCCTCAGGCCGGGGCATACCAAAGTCCTAACAAGATGATAGTTTTTATTTCCTGCTTAACGTTCAGCATTACGGGGAATGGTAACATGTGACCGGGCGAAATGCTGTGCTTGGTGCCTTCGGCATGGCATTTCAGTGAGATAGCACTATAAAGTCGGCATCAAATCCGCGCTATCAAAAGGAGGCAAGCACACCAACATACCCTGTCTCCTGCATGCACCTACGCAAGCAAGCATACACTACACACATGGAGGCACGTTATTAAATTACTATAGCTGTTCGTAGGACGTTAAACAAAATTAGACCAAACCAAACAGAGACGCGCACCCGACAAAGTTTTGGCATTGACGTTGTTGTTTTAATTTCTCTTTGTAAACTTAAGTACGAACTGCAAGGCAATGTTTCGTATATAATCACCAAACTAAAGTGAAATGAATAAGAGGAAACACAAGCTCAATATGAATAATATGTTACATGTACAAATGGAAATGCGGAAACAGCTTGTACGAACAGAGACGTACACACGAAAAAATGTTTGACGTATTTTTATTTATTTTTTTTATTTTTTTTCGTAAGCTGAAGAACGAACTGCAAGGAAGTGTTTCGTATATTAACACCAAAATATAATGAAATGAATTAGAGAAAACACACTTGTGCAAACTGTGTAGCATGAACAAATGGGAATATGCAAACAATACAACAAAATGAAAGATAACAGAAGATAAACAAATAAAGGTGTTCCGTATTCGACATGATCTCAGATTTAAACACACGAAAGTGTAGGCCACGGATATAGAAAGGAGTTCATGTGATGACGAATGCCACATTACTAAGCGTGCATCAGTCGTCCGTGTGATAGCAAAATTAGCCTAGTCATACTGTTAGGAGTATTTGAAATGTATGTATTTCAATTTTTTTTTTTTTTTTTGCTGTACTTCTGTTTTGAAAATTCAGAGAAGAAACAGAAACATATTAACTACAATTATTCCATATTATAATGTCGTGGTTTATGTAGTCCCAGGCACAATGCTGGATTGTATATAAGTATAACACGACTATTCAATCATAAATAGAACAAAAACATGTAAAGAAATCAAGGCAAATTATTGTCCGATTTTATGAATGGCTGAGGTTAAAAGGAATGGTTTGTATAAGTTCAGAGTGATTTAACTGCTTAAGTTAGGACGGCTATTTAACCTATCATTTTGAGTTGTTAACTTATTGTTACTTGCAACTATTTCACGATATTTGCCTATGTATATCGAATCTGATTGTTTTTTTCATTACTTTCAGGGAGCGAGTTTCGCAGAGTTTGTTACCATACAAATTGGTCAAATCATCTGGGGAATTTCTACGTGCAAACCATCGACCCATATTTGTGTACACACATTATCTATGCATTTGCAAGAATAGACATTAGTGAGAAGAAACTTGCCAGAACAGAAGTCGATGACGACAATGGAATGTTGGGTGACGACAGAAGTGGAAATTACTTTAAGTTCACAGGGTTGAAAACACAAAATCCTAAATTGAAAACTCTGCTCTCAGTTGGAGGGGAGACTTTATCTGCAGTCTTCCCAAAAGTGGTCGCTTCACATGTTTTGAGGGTTTTTGCACAAAACTGCAAAATCTTTCTACGTGATAGAAATTTCGACGGTCTTGATATCGACTGGGAATTTCCACAAAGTGCCTCAAGGGATGACTTTACACAGTTATTAAAGGTAATGTATAAAAAAAAAAAAAATGTAAAAAAAAAATGTAAAAAAAAAAAAAATTGTCTGACCATAAATTCATTCACTTTAACGAAAAGCGATGTAAACATTCTTCGATATTACAATCATATCATACAGACAGTATGTTTATTTGTTTATTTGTAATTGTTGCAATGGGTTCAATGAAATATAGATAAATTCCATCGTGGAGACATTGTCACTTGCTTTTTGTTCATTGGCATTTGTTCAGGTTATGAGGGAGGTTTTTGATGATGAAACCCTTAATGAAGGACAGTCACGTTTAATACTGACTATAGCTACGGCGGCCGGGAAGGACAATATTGACACCTCGTACAACATGACAGAAATATCAAAGTAAGCCATCTAGAGTTTTCTGTTTTAGGTGGGAGGGATTTAATGCCATGTCATACAATGTATCTGTTTTGGTCTAAGTATTAGACGTTCAACCAAGTAGAGTAGGCGATGGGTTTCATCCCCACGCCGGGACATCCTAAAGTCCTTCAAAAGGGTAGTTGTTATTCCCTGTTTAGCGTTCAGCATATAGGGTTATTGTAACAACTAGTTGACCCGATTTTAGTATTATATGACCGAGTGAAATACTGTGCTGACTGCATTCGGTATTTCAGTTTGGTCGGCATTAAATCCGTGCTATCACAAGGCATTCGGAACACCTCTACCCGATTACAGTTCCTCCCATCGGCCGAGGAGTTCCGAGTGTTCACAAGGAGGCGAAAACATCAACATACTCTGCACGTACACATATTAAGGCACATTCTATAAATACCTTAGCTTTACAGTACGTTGAATAAAATAAAAACCTGACCAATCCCTTTCGCTGTGTCCGATACCATTTGATTGGTTTACCGATATCTGTCCATATTTTCAGTATCCTTATATAAGTTTCTAGACAGATGTTCTTCTGTTATAACTTACTGGCCTATCAGCACAATGAAATGGATCAAACAACATAAAATGTGTGAATCTATACCTAATAAGAGTCTTTTATAGGTATGTGTGTATGTATGTTTGATATGGAAATTCGACTAGAGGTTGCAGAATGTTGTCCAGTACCGAGACTTTGCCGCGGTTCGGACGCCAAATTCTCCTTCTGAGAGTAGATTATCCATATCCCTATATCCCGCATACCTTTCGGTAAAAGTCTACAAGGATAATGAAAATGAAACACTAAAGTATCTTTCTTCAATAAAATGTATACACAAACAAAGGCCATATTTGGAAAAAGGAAGAAACTAAGCACTGTATAGCAACGCTATTTCTCAAGCTAGCGAAAACAACTCCGATGTTATGTTATGTTATTACTGTCATAGACAGCTAGATTGTCGCAATCAGTCAAACGACGTTTTGACGTGACGTGACGTCATGAAAAACTCCGTCATCTGATTGCAACGTCAAAATATTAAAGGTGACGGAGTACACCCCAGTGAAATCTACGTATTACACATGAGTTTCTCGAATAAGAAATGTCTATCGTAAATATGCAAAGTAGGGGGAAGAGAATAATAACCGAAATGAATCCAGCAGACGAATTTTGATTTGCAGTCGTCCCATCGGTTCTGAGGGACACCATGACAGATAACTTGGAGAATTGGATGCAGTAGTATATTCCTCCGTCCTTTTACGGAACAGAAGAATGATCTCAAAACCATATGTCAAATATACATTTAATATCAGGAATGTACAATGTATTCATTATTATGTTACCTTGCATTTTTCCATTTCTCCTATAGTAGTTATATCTAATTTAAGTAAGCAACATATACAGAGAGTGCGATTATATCCATTTCTTTCATTTCAGATATGTCGATTTTTTCAACGTTATGGCGTATGACTATGCTGGTACTTGGAGCCAGATAGCAGGTTTTGGATCTCCACTGTACTCGAGGTTGTCAAACCCTCTCTTTAATCCGGAAAACTCACAGGTAGACTACTAGAAAAGAGCGAAAGATACGCAAATTCATTAAAAAGTCAAACTAGAAATAAATATCGTTGAAATGGTTGGAAAAGAATTCTTTTTAATATTATGACCTTATAATGCAATAACAAAGACAAAGTTTCTGAAAAAATGTAGATGAGATACCCATTACACTATTCCGTCTTTTCGTATTGCAGAGTTATCTGCACTTGTTAGCAGGGATTGATTGTTACGTCATTTGTTTGTGAGAGTAACGTCATCAGTTTTTGAGAAAACGACGTCATTTTCTCACACAAACCAATGACGTAACAATCAATATCTGCTCACAAGAGAAGATAACTCTGCAAGACGCAAAGACGGAATACATAGGTTCATATGATACAAACGATTGCACGTTTGAGTGTGATTCTCAATACGTATATGATAACTGTATTGAACAAATACAAGTCATGAATTATGTCAAACATTCATCATACTACTACTCTGCTAGCAGTCGCAAAACATCAAATACATAAATTTGCTATTGCGGAACTTGTTCCAAGTATCGGAATACCTTGAAAGATGATGCCTAATGTTGACTGATAATCCACTTAGCCAAGGTTTCCTACCAAAGAGTCCTCATTCAACTTAACTGAAATGTAAAGGCCGTCATCATGACACGTTTTTATACATTAGTTAATGAGGTCTTCAGTTTAGTTTCGATGTTCGCTCGGTTCCTATTGTTAATTAAAGAAACTTTGTTCTTTTATGTTGACGCTATATCTACTTTATTCTACTTAAAGTACTGTATACTGAGACATTTTTGTCGAAGTTTAACTTTCGTTTTTTCCGTAATGAGAGAGAATTAAATAAACACAAAGCATACTATGCATAGAAAAAACACGTGTGAAAGGCACCACTGAGAAAATAGATTCTACCAGTGAAGGACTAAAATTTGACCAATTAAACGTTTACTGGTATACAGTATTTACTTTGCTTATTAGCGTGTACTCGGAGTATTGCATTTAATAACTTTCAGAATTATATTGTAAATACTGGTAATTCTTTTTTATTTCAGAACTGGACTATGAATCACTATATAGCATTGGGAGCTCCAAAAGAGAAGCTCGTAATGGGAGTCCGTGGGGCGGGGGCTTCATTCACTCTTAAAGACTCCTCAAAACACGATGTGGGGGCACCTGTCATCGTAGGAGGGGGCAATAAGGGGTCAGTGAGACAGCTGAAAGGTCATCTTGCTTATTATGAGGTAAACAAAATTGACAAATATGTTTTGCATGCTTAAGGAAAATGTTTGCCTACCCAATCATCCGCTGTCCCCAGCTTCAAAAAACTGACAACAGAAGAAAATATAATTGAATCAGTAAAATAAACAGTTAGACTTAAAAAATATACGCCATACGATTATGCAAACAGACTTAATTTTTGTCGTTTTTATGTTTTCATTTTTATTTAGTACATGTAAATAGAAATTATTGTTATTCCAAATTACTATAAAATCTCAATGAAATATCCCAAAAATGCCTATGACTTTTTTTTGCAGATATGCTTTGATTTGATAAACAAAGGGGCGACAACGGTATGGGATGATGAACAAAAGAGCAATTATGCTTACATGGAAGATCAGTGGGTAGGATATGACGATACCAGGAGTGTAGTGGAAAAGGTCAGGCTGTGTGATGTTTTTTGTTATCATCTATATAGTACTTTATACTACATGTACCTACCTTAGCATAATTAATGTATTACCACGGTTTGTCAGTATGAGAGTATTCGATAAGAAGGTCAGCACGATTTGAGAAAAACTTGAAAATAGATTTCTCAAAATAACATGTCTTCTTGCGCCAGATGATGTCTAGTATCCCGCGTAAGACAATTGTTCGTCATAAACAAATCATTACAAAATTATGAAAAATAATATTATGAGGATGACAACCCAATTAAATATGCATTTGGAGAAGCCTTAAAAATGTCTTTCTAATTGGTTTTAAGGTTCGTGGTATTCCCCTGTGGTAGACTTGTATTTGTTTATATTTGTCACTGATAGATGATCTCCTTTATCACAAGACCTTAAGATTGGTCTAAAAATGTGGTATTCAACTGGGTTGTTTTTTAAATACATAAGGTAGAAGTATAAAGATGATAAACAGTTTATCACACATAGTTTCAAGGTTTCTCGCATGAACAATTTTCGCAGGTGGACTCGATATTTTAAATCCACGTGATCGAGATGAGAAAATACTGTGTGATAATCTATAATTGTTTTTGTGTGAAATACCTTAACAACGGTCAACTGTTAAATGAAGTCACAATGTATCAGGTGAAACGCTACCAATCTGTAAACAAAACTTTTCTTGGATCTTATATATTTGTAATAAAACACAGACATGAATACGGACTTACAAAGTGATCCGTCGATGGTTTATTCCGTCTTTTCGTTTTGCAGAGTTATCTGCTCTTGTGAGCAGGTATTGATTGTTACGTCATTAGTTTGTGTGAGAAAATTACGTCGTTTTCTCAAAAATGTATGACGTTACTCTCACAAAAAAATGACATAACAATCAATACCTGCTCACAAGAGCAGATAACTCTGCAATACGCAAAGACGGAACAACAGATACTAATTTGTAATGGTATACCATTGCTATTGTACATCTGCCCTGTGGTGCATTCGTTTAAAGTATAATATAACGCCACATTAGACACATACTAGTCCGTTTAACGTTCATAAGTATATATATCACTGTTTCATCGCGAAATGTATAGCAGCCATAACATAATATTTGATGTCTTTTTAATATAAAGTTAATAAGACAAGTTATATAAACTTTCTTTTTTCAGTGTTGCTTTCTTTATAAGAGAAAAAAGGCAAAACATAAATAGTTGCAAAATTGTATGACTCATCTCTCATTCAGAGCAGATTTAAGAAGGGTATTTTAAAAGACATTCTTTTCATATCGTAGCTGTTGTTGGCGCTAAGTGCTAGAACTATATAGAAGGGGAGGAATCTTTGAGATTGCAGCCTATCTCGGAATATTTTAGATAAATACAATTGGTTCTTTATCCTTTTAAATATTCTTACATTTCTAAAAAGGAGTTGAGATACATTTATTGAAAGTACCCTTATATTTATCAGGTATACTCCTATGTTTAAACGTTCGACGCTAGTTAAATTATATCATGTGACTTTTTTAAATGTCAATTGAATTACCTTTACAGGTGAATTACGCTGGCAATCTCGGATTGGGTGGAGTCATGTTTTGGGCTTTCGATTACGATGACTTTTCAGGTACTTACTGTGACAATGGTACCTACCCATTGCTGACGGCGATGAAGAATGCAGCAATGAAATATACGACTGAAGACCCCTCACCGTCCTCCGTCGACATCACCGTCCCTGCATTACCAACGCTTTCTGTGACAACAGAGAAACCGTCAATAAATGACGGAACTTTCAAACTTTTTAATGTTATCGGCCACGGAGTAGTTCACAGCTCATCTAGTCTTGTTATCACTACTTTACTTTCTTTATGTATGCTTTTCTGTCTGTTTCATTGATTATAATTGTCGTCACAATTCTTTCCTTTTACTCATTTATCTACCCTTTCTTCCCTTTCCCACCAACACCCACCCCTCCCAACCTCTTTCCCGAATTCCGTCATTTGAATTTGTCGACCCAACCGTACGACACAGACATTAGTTTCCTATCTAGATTACGAACAAACACACGAAAAACAGGTCTAACCATGCCTTCTTTTTGTCACATCGACCTTCAATTATCTGCCTTTTGTATAACAAAAAGCTAGTAACGTGATAGAAAAAAAACACTTTGTGACAAATTGTTTCCTTTTATTGTATTTCCTTGTGAACATTTTGTCATAACACATGAAAACATTTCGTGTTTTGTTGGGTTTAATTATTTTCCCTGACATTTGTGTATTTTCGCAATTTCCTTGGCGTCACATTCCATAGACTTTGAGTTCGTGTCCTTTCATTGAAACCTCTATTTATGATATAATGAATTTGTTTTATTTCATCTTAACTGATCAAAAGATAAGATGACAATCTTTCTATATTCATTTCATTACAATATGCAACAAGGAAAACCCGAACAGCTGTTTCAGCTCAAAACCATAAAAGCAGAGGGAAAGGAAATGTTAACACGGTGACCCTTGAAAAATTACTAGGAGAGTAATACAAGGTGTTCCGGAAGGTTAAGCGTCTTTTTTGTTCACTGGAGATAGCTTTCATGATAATCTAAGTCAAATGCAAGTAAATTTAAACCCGGGATAGTATCAACAAACCGGAGGAAAATAACACAATCAAAACATCGATATTCACTTATAGTAATATAATGTGATCATAATGGCGACATTGAAACTTAGACTTTTATCAATCTGTATATCTCGAAACATTATGTTGCAAATCGTGATATCAGTAGCACACACGTTAAAATTCGAATCACGATGCAACACGTTTACACCGTTAATTGGCAGAGACAACAAATGTAACTATAAAGAAAGGGAATATTTTGCGATAAAAAACATCAAAATCCTCTCGCTTATCATTCAGCGCAATTAAAAGCTGTGCTTGTCGACCATGTTGTAAAAATTGATCGAGGTAAGCTGCTGAGATAGGACAGTTGGAGTTTTTGTATACACTGGATCAAACCATATTGGTAACGAGTTTTAATGAGTAATGCTTTGGTTTAGCCAATTACATTGGTCACGAATCAGAACAGAGTAAATGAGTAATATTTTGATGAAGTTCCGTCTCTTACAGATGTTAATGTATTTTTTAAATATGTACGTCAGTTTGCCATTGTAAAGAATAGCAACGCTTACATTGTAAGTGCAACAGTTTTATGATGTATTACCTGTAGTTTTGATATCTAAGTTTCTGTGGGTTGTTTTTTTGTGTATTTTTATGTACTTTCTTGTCTCTATTTAATGACGCGATTGTGTATGATTTTTCTTTCCTCCTACTTGCAAGTACATACAACTATCATTCGGTCCAAGGCTTACTGTATACTGGAAAACTTTCTCTGCAGTTTAACATACGCCTATCCCAAATCTATAACGAAGGTGAATGTATCGTGACGGCGAACGTCAATACACAACATGTTACGAAAAGCAATTTCACATCACCGGCGAATATACCACTGGGCGAATAAGTATTTACCAGTACAGGGCGAAAGTTTGATTAAGCGAAAGCTTCCCAGTACACAATATGAACTTCTTATTATCTCCGATCATTCTATTTATATCATATCTCTCGACAGGAAACTATGTCCCTGATTCCTTTATTTTAATGCATATGTCTTTGCAATGTTCTATTTTTCCCGTCGAACTTAAACCTATTCAGTCTGTTATATACCAAGCAATTCAATTCAAAAGGTTTGTCGCGAAAATGTTATTTTTCCAGTATTATAAATTTAAATATTTTGCATTATATTTAATTCTGGCGATTTGTCGTTAAACTTTTCTCTAAAGAATGTACGGTATAGGTTTCTAGGATTTCAATACCGTACTCTGTACGGAAGTTACGTTGCCGCGACAATGTCACTATTTACGGTTATATGAACTTTTTGTCTTCTTTTTCATATTCTACATTTAGTCAATCAGTGAATATGCCCAAATAGTGTGGTAAATATTTACATTTGTTTTAATTGTATTACATGCCTTTTTAAGTGACAATACCATTTATTTTGTGTTCTTATCATAATCAGGTTACATTTAAGCAATATTCTAAAACCACAGAAACGGCAATACACTACATATATATAACAAATATATTCCAAAGGTTATCTACGAAAGAGCTTTGGTTTTTAGTTTTTTGATTAAAACAAACTGTATACCACGGTTATTGCAAAACCGTTGAAACTGAATAATTATCGTCCTTTAAATACTATTAGTTATTTTGTATAATTGGTAACCACTATCCAATGTCATGTTAAGATCCGAAATCGATTGGTGCTTTAAGTTGTTTTATAATATCAATAGTGAACTTTTTTCACTTTCGAAGACTTTTACATTTCATCAAAATATTGATACAAGTTCGGGTAACAATGTTTCCTTATATTTTAAGGGTTCGAAATAGATTATTAAATAGAAAGCAATAATGTATAAAAGTGTATATTATAACTTTATACATATAAAGGGCATTCAATGATCTTCTATACGAACATTTTATTATTCCTTTTTCTGAATAAAATCTTTTTCTTGCGTTATTGAGCAACCAACGACACTTGAATTCACCTTAGGGCGAACAGTCCGGTTATACAGATATCTAGTTAGGTTTGTTAGACCATTAACAAAAGAAAAATATACAAGATTATAATACATTTCGTTTGGATGTGTATTCAAGACTTTGGCAAAGTTTCCAATTTGTATTGAAATCGCCTTATTGTCCCTTTCAAAGTACATATAACTGTTAATCATGTTCTTATCGAAATGTTCAATGATAGATCGGTAGTGCCATTTGTCCCATTTGTACAATCAAATTAACAGACGTATGTCTGGAAAAACATGTTAAATTGTGATACAGAATAAGTAATTGTCGTGTGAATTAATGGTTATTTTATATGTTTTATTCACAAAAAAAGATATGTCATTTTGTTTCAATTAAACTTGTCCTCATTTGCTATTGAAAACAGTCCATCTTGTGTTATTTTTTTATAATTTGTATTTCTATTTGACGACAAGCTTTGAGCTTGATTGTTTTTTTACGGTGCGCTAGTCAAAATTGAACTTTGGTGCAATAAGTTAAACAATATTGGCCAATCTATTATAAACGGTTTGAGTTCGTCAAGTCATCTTTCATAATGTATTAGCTCTCAGTTAAATAATTTCCCATCTTGTTAAGGAATCCACTCAATCGTTCAAGACATTTCAACTTAAGTGTGAAAACAAAATACACTGTATAAATGCAAAAATCCTTTTTTGTTATTCCAATATCATATATAATGGGAGCCTTAACAGGTATATATTAGTATATGAATTAATTTCATCTAAAGGTTTCTTCACCCTCCTCTTCTTCTGCTTCCTCTTTTTCTTCTTCTTTTAATTCAGTAAACCTTTAAATCTAAAAATGTGATTTAGAATATCGAATTCTTTTAGACATTCTAAAAAATGAGGAATATTAGGAACATTATTTAGATATTTAAATTACATTTCATTTAATCATGTTAAAAGGCCATCGCTCTCCTCATAGGTATAAAACAAACAAGAATATGCATTAAAGCTGAACTGAAGTGATGCAAGGCATGTAACTCATAGCTTAAGTGATGCAAGGAACGTAACTCACAGCTCAAGTGATGCAAGGGACGTAACTTCAGTAGAGGAATGGTTTTAAACATCATTCATTGATAATTTATCACCCCTCCCATAAGCGTGATATCAATAAATCGATCAAACAACCAATGGTGCATAACAGTCAGATATACAGTCTCCAGTCCATGAAACATTTTCTTTTTGAGATGTTTAGAAATTCATTCTTGAACGATAGCACGAATATATACGATGCAGAAAAATCACAATATTCTTGCAAATACTTCAGCTTAATTCCCTTGACCAAACGCTCTGCTTCGTATCTATGACTTTAAGTGCTATTACCTTCTCGAATATTTGTAGTCGCTATGTAAATACTAGTGTAACTGTTAATATGCTTACTGATTCCGCACTGAATGCAATGGCTTTAATTGTAAGTTTCCTGTTTGAAACAATGCTATGATAGGAGAAAATTATGAAATAATTCATTAACCGGGGAAAATACCAGCATTTACATGTTAAACAGTCTCTATATATAAACTGGAAACTATTCATCGTACCGATACGCCCTATGCACATGGATATGCTCTTTTTTGTCCGTCCTTATTTAAGACTCTATCCTATAGTAAGATATATGTGTCACCTGGGATATTCATTTCATACAAACTAGTGATGATATAGGCTTCGTGTTCAGGTAAAACCGCGCGGTAGCAATAAGGAAGTTAAATTCTGAAATGGCGGCTGATATATGTAAGCTGGGATCTCGAACAGACTCGTATTTTCGGTGTAGAAGACAAATTGGTCATTGCGTAGTTGGAGACGACCTGTGATCCTATAGTAACGTAGAGGAAAATACTATGTATATATAAAGTGATTTCACTTGTAAATATGCATGTACCATGTAAGGTCCAGTGACTTCAGAGTGTATCTTGGATTATCTTCGTAAATGATTTTTTAAATGGCGACAGTCAGTGGTATGACGGGATCTGAACCCTTGCTCTGTCTGTTGTGCTATAATGAATACCAAGTGCCGAGATCGTTACCACGTAGACATACATTCTGTGAGAAGTGCTTAATATCATATATAGAATCTGATGGACTACAAGAATCAGATTTGGGCAAACACTTTGACTGTCCAGCATGCAGATACTCCGTCTTGGTGCCAGATGCAAATGCGTGTGATATAGCCAAATACTTCTCATTAAACGCGCTTTACAAGTCCCTTTCTACAACTAAATGTTGTGATCCAACACTCTGTGATGTTTGACAGAGTGACAAAGTCAGAAGGTCAGCCATCGTGTGGTGTATCGAATGTGGCGAGGCATTATGTGATGAATGCTGATTTCACTAAATGACATTCAGTGAACAACGATAAACCAAACTGGACTTATAGTTCCGGTGTTATTGGCGACGGACGCTAATGGTTGTCGCTTCCATTATCATTATAACCTAGACGGAAATGGCGTCCATCTTATCTGATATTAAACTATCTAATGTAGCAGTTGTTTTCTGCATTTTTCTTCTTTTTAGTTTTATCATATTGGCTTTATAATTAGATGGATATACGTGTGGTTAATGCATTGAACTACCTTGGAAAAGTATTCACTCATAACGTAAAACTAAAACAAACGCAAAATTAAGATGCTAACCAAGGTAGAAACCCGTGTTTTTCACTGTTTTATTGAATAGTAAACTAAAAAGTCCTTGTTTTAATATAAAGACTCAACGCTCTGTATTTGTATTTTTGGCATGCGCAAGTGAAATATCATATAAACTCCAGATGTGGAAAAAATTCACACATTTTTTTATAAGAAGCAACTTCGAGTCAAGAAATGTACAGAAAATGAATTTGTGTATTTTAAATTACGACTGTTTAGGAAAGAAAACTAAAAGTTTTGAAATATTTGTTGAAATTGAAAAGTACAAAAAGATGAGTCTAAAAAGCCTGCTTATAACACAAAATTAAGTGGAATGACGAAAGGTTTATTAATCTCAAAACTGAATTAACTAAATTCAGGTAAGCGTATATATGGTATGGTAATAAGATGGAAAATTGAACAATTAAAATATAAGAAAAGTAAGTATACAACCAAAATTGCTATCGAAATTTTTTGGTTACCATTTGTGTACTTATATCAGCATTTAGGTGATAATTTATGCTCACAATATTATTTGTGTAAAGTTATTGATTCAGTATAAAAATATGTTCATCAAGTATTAGACTATCATCGCATAATCTTGAAATAGAGAAAGGTAGACATGATAATATTTCGAGACATGATAGAATGTGTACATGCTGCAATTTAGCCGAAATTGAAGTTAAAATTACATTTTTTACTAAAATGCTCCTTTCATTCAAAACTACTCAATCATATATTAAGAATTATCAGTATCTAAAACCTAGTGTATTCCACTTTGTTCGGCTATCAGGCGTACTCAATGTTAAGGACTAAAATAAAAAGGGAAAATTTGTACATTTGGATTTCATGCAAAGAAAGAATAGATTGAGGGGTTAATTATAATACTGTTTCATAATGTACATATTTATGTTGTATTTGCAACTAATGGCTGTAAGGCCTGCGGAATAAAACAAACATTGAACATTGAATCTAAATCTTTCAAAACATGCCTCAACCGTAAATAAATGTACATCTACTTAGGGTTTAAGTCTCGTTAACTGTTCCCCTACACATCTCATTCGGCAACTCAGTGAGCCAGGTTCACCAAGATTGAGAATGGAATGTGGAACTCCGTTTTATCATATTTTCACTATGCACATGAACAAGATAATTCAACCCAATTATCAGTAACCAGTGTTTACTTCTTATACTCAAATACAAACAGTTGAACATGGACTGCAAGTATACTCCCTTTCACCTAATTTGTCACTCTTCAATTGCGTAATTCTACCAACAACAAAAAAAAATGTTATTAAAATGTTCGTCAAATTTCAATCATTTAGATAATGACTGTCATTTTCAACTTTGTTTCTATTTATGTTTTCTCCTTCGACATATGCATAAAATGTTGCTGCACCTCCAACATTTTAGTTATCAAATAATAACATTTGATCAGCGTTTTACTTAACATTGATGTCATATGAGATACTGTTTAATTTTGTATTTTACATTAAACCATTCATATAGATCCGTTATTGGATAACTATTGCGGATAGTTAAAAAACTAATTTTTAACATCCAATAATGCTGTTATTTCACGTGGATGCCTCCAACCTGGAAAATGTTCAGATCTTATCGTCTTACTGACATGGCGTGACGTCAAATTTAAAAATAAAAATGATGGAAATTCGTTGTCTGACGAAAATGCAACCAATGGAAAATATGAAGTTGGTCCCACAAAATGGGCGGTCCAGCATTTGGCAAAATGAATAATCAGTAGCATGCGAGCAAAATACAAAAAGAAATATAATTATTTCTTTATTATTTTACACGTATATATAAGGACTGATATGCAATTTCGATGGTCTGTGATTCAGACAGGGTCAAACATAAGGTCGACATCTACATTAAGTAAATTAATGTAACAAAATATTGCTGTACACTTTTTCTTTCCATTTCATTTCAAAATAAAAGTTTTCGTGTGGTAATAAGATATATACCAGAAGACAAAAAAAAGGAAAAAAGAAATGAAAGAAAAGGCGACAGACAGGATACGGTGACAATGCACTGACCCTGTAGTCGGGACAACCCTTTTTAGGTTTATTCTAGCTTCCTAGCGAAACAAAATACCTGACGCATTCTGCTTGACATTTAAGGTACGGGCGAACGGCCGAGAGTCACCCATTACGAACAGACAACCTGACAGGTAACGTGACAGAAAAAAGTTACCTGTGCCGGTGTCAAAGCTACCTTGACTATTAATAGATAAAGTCCGTAGTTACAAAACCATGTAAATGTTTACACGTTGTTTAAATTGTTGAAACCTGCTATACTATCATATTACTTCAATCATTTAATGATGGTGCATTTCTTTGTTTCCTCATTGCACAAAATGTCGCAAATACGATAGACTATGGCAAGGACACACGAGTGTCTTCGGTATGTGTGGTATAGTGCGTCATTGCCCGATTTTGTATTTGAAAAGATCATATTCAGAACTTTAATTGTTTGCGTTCAACATTCTATCTAAGGCTTCATTATAGTGTAATCGTGAATCACTTGTGTATATTTGTATGTCGAAAATTTCTTATTTAGTTTTTACAGCAGTACATTCTATCTGATAACCGATGCAATGAAAACGATTAAGAAAACCCAATTTAGTTTTTATTAAGCAGTAACATAAGAATACATAATAATGCATAAGATTTTATTTATAATATTTGTTACAAGGAATATTACTACTTATATTTCTAATATTTCAACCCGTATATACGGAAAACAAAAGACATGTTAAATATACGTTAATTCACGTATAAATTGTCATAATATCACAGAGTAAAATTCAAACACATGTAAAACGATAAATTATTGCACTAAATCACATTATAAATAATTCAACACATGTATGTATATACGCAATAGACAGGAGGTTTCACACCTAAATGAGGAAATAAGGTTGTTAAATTATTAACTGAAAAGTAAGTATGCTCTGAAGAACTCGTATAATAACACTTTTAATCATACATATATTTTGCTTCACAACAATGATTATCATTTGCTTCAGGAAGAAAGGAAAGAAAAGAGGAAAAAATCTTAAATCCCTCCCTCCAAACTTATCTTATTTACTATTTCAAATAGGAAATATACTTTCAAATGTTTAAAAAGTTAAATAGTGGGTGTTTTTAAATTACTACCAATCCCTGCATAAAGTTCTAATTATAATTTGTAACATTCAAAGTGTAATCATACAAGATCAATAAAATTGCTTTGCCATCATTTAATTATTTCAGTTTATAAACCCCAGCTAATATTCCAATAGAAACACGTGGTATTGATGCACTACTTTCTTCGAACCTTTTTTTTGTGTAATATACATAAGTGATCATAATTTTACATTACATTCATTGCTCCCTTCACACCGTTTAGTATGTGTGTTTGGATGACAATTTCATGCGACTATCAATTAGGAAAAAAATAACGGTAAGCATAAATAAAAAGCATCTTAAGCACGCACGAACGCACTTATTTGTAAAATAAATATCCAACACCGATGTATAATATTAACGAACCATCATTAGGGGTACCAGGTAGTTAGTTATACAATCATCCTTCTTATACTGAACTGTTAACATTGTAAATTAACTAAAAATCATTAACATAAGGACATATAGTAATTACTCAGCTTAACAAGCTTAACTGTACAATACGATAGAAAAAAACATAATTGTATTTGTTTTTACTATTACTGGTCGCCATTTTAAATATGTTTCATATGTATAAATATATTTTATAATGCGATTTTAGTTGAATTAACTGCGGGACTGTAACGTTGTTTGGGAAAATTCAAATGTACGTGACAACGCGATCGCCACCACAATATTGAATATCCCCGACTGAGTTGGACCGTAATAACATTAACATGAACATTTAGGTTCTGCAAACTATCATTAGAGTCCCGCATTTAAGGATCCTTGTCCCGCTGGACTTCGGTTTTTGGTATACTCAGTAATCTCCCCTTAATTTTGTTTGGATACTACCGTAGAAAAAGTTGGGCCAGGACTCTCCTGTTGACCTGATAGCTAAATCTTTACACTTAAATTATATTTTCTTTATTTCATCGTAATACTATTTTCATAAATATCTCGCAAGATATGGTTTTCTTTTCAGAACTAATTTACCAACGTTATTGTCGTGTCGTGTCGGAGAAAAGAAAACGGTTTCTAAGACGTAGTTACATTGCAGTGGTACGGGACTCTTAATATGACTGTCAGACAGTAAAACAATAACAAAGTATGAATAACTTAACTTCATAACGACTATTTAATACAATAGGTGATATTTTTCTGCTTAATCTTAAAATGCACTTTACAAATGCAAAGTTTTGATTTCTTAAGCAACCATTTCTGTTTAGTATACAAAGAAATAACATGTTTACAGAATTCCATGACGTCATTTTAGCACACATAGTTTCAGTGAAGCTTGTCCAGCCAAGTACTGAGGCTTTGGATTTGCTGAGAGACGCTGACCTTCCCTGTTCCCCCATAGGCCTTGTACTGGTCGACAGAATTGTCGTAGTCCCACAATTTAACAATGTCTTCCTCAAAACAAGGGCTGGTACAAAATAAAAACAAATATTTTAACAATAAAAACTTGCCAAATCTTGTGAAAACTTCTTCGTAGTTTGGTATCTTTTATAATTCATTATTTAATTAGACGTTTTGATTGTTTAGGATTTTTATAATTATCTATTAAATTAGTTATTCATTTCGTTTTTAGAAGCGTTATAATATTCGAACGGAAAGAAAAAATTCACGAGTTTACGTTATCATGGTGTATAAGACCAAAAATCACACTTAAAACCAATGCTAACTTGTGTATGCATGATTTGCCACCTTTAACGTTATTGTTACATTCTTCCTATAAAATGACGTAAAGTTGGCAAAACTGATTTGTCATAACACTCGTATGATTCGTTTCATATAATATTAACTACACTCTTTCCTTTTGGTTTTGTTCGACATACAGACCTGACACTCTTTAAGTCCTCTAAAGTCAAATCGGACAACGGACACTGTTTCGTCTCCGCCATTGCCACGCATGTACCAGAAAGACCATGTGCTTGTCGGAATGGAACCTAGGGAATGAACATAAGTAAAAGCTATAATGAAGAGTAGACATTAATTCATATAAAGTAAAGAGTCTTACCAAATAGCAATATACAGATTCCTTAATTAAGGGATAGCACAAAGAGTATTAATATGTCAGCGTATATAACATATATTGGACAACTCTACGAAAACGATCCTCACGAAATATTTACTGGACAACTCAAGAACAGGCCCCTCACGAAAGATTGTTATACAGTACAAGTCCCTTAACTAATGGATACTGTATAACACGAAATTTCATGGGGACTTTCCTTCGTGGTTTGAAGCCATTTAGATAGCTTCGTGGTACAAACTTTCGTGGATATCCTAAATTAACAAACAGAAGATAGGTAAATCATTCAATTTCGTTGTATTTTTTTTTTTTCATGGTACAATAACCACGAATGGTTATACACAACGAACATTTCATGTTATACAGTAGCACAAAGTGTTTTACATGTTTTACTGAACTGTGAAGAACAAGATGATTAGCGGGTACAATACAGTGCTGGAATGTAGTTCGTTCTCATAACAGTTTATGTCTTATTTAACTATAATTTATGAGCTTACTCCCTTCAGAGCAAGGTAATATGCAATGTCAGTAGCTTTAGTCATTACGAAACACATGCATTTATGAAATTTGAAGGTTGAAGCTTTTTTATTTTTTTTTACAAGCAGAAAACATATGTTCGAATTCTGTCTTATTAAAATACAATTTATAAACATACCCCCTTCCGAACCAGGTAATATGCAATGTCAGTAGCTAGCATATCTGGACTGAGCGCACCCCTCATCTTCTCCGGGTGGATCTGAAAATTATCAATCAGAAAAAACATCTCCTAACAAACAAGGCAAAGTATTGCAAGGCAAACCATAGTCCCCCATCGGTAACGATTTCTGTATTTAACAAACAGTACACGTATGTCAGGAAGCATAGTTCACACTGAGGTCATAGTGACCTACTTCTTGTATACCAAATCTGGTTACTCCAGGTGAAATAGTACAGAAGATATTCCCCAGACGAACTGGTTCAAAAGCAAAGGGTCACAGGTCAAGCCATACGTCATAGTGATTTTTTTCTTTCACTCTGCACTCTGTCATCACAAGATGTCCTTGTACACTCGCACGGAAGGACGGTAGGACAGAGTGCAAACATATAGCCCCCCCCCCCCCCCCCCCCCCCCCCCCCCCCAAGGAACCGAACCGGTGGTGGATTTAAAAAAACGATATTGTCCAGAATCAATTAAGGGTTTTCTATATTTAGCACCAAACAACAAACGTGAGATTAACTTGACCATTTGACCATGTAACTTTAAATAAAAAAAAGTTTCAAACGCGTTACCTGAAACATTAAATTCGTTTGTGAAGTTTGATTTGGAAATTATTGACTTACCTGTAACGTAGACAAAACGCCTGTGGATACTTTAAGTACACCACTGAGAGTAGTATAGGTATCGAACATGCTCTCTTTATCTTCCTGTTTGAAAAGCATTAAACACATATTATTAAAGAGGGTCAAGGAGCATATATTGGTAAGTCTGACACCCTGTTGTTCAGGGAAATAGTGACAGATGTAGTTTGGCACAAAATGAAGAACAAAGTGCTTTATATCAGATACTTCGTTTATTCAAAGTATATTAAAATGTTAGAGAGAATAATTACGTAAAAATGTATCCTAGTTTTATATCCTCACCCTAGTTTTATAATATATATTGATATAAACGAAAATTGAGATTTTTGAAACGAATGCAACTCCACTAGCCAATAATGGCTAACCGATTGTGTCAAATCAAAGTTAATAAAGGGAATGATGATTAACGTATTGTATAATGCCATACGTACCTGTAAATCTTTATTATATGTACTAGGTAAACCCTTCAGTGTCATCATAAAACCTGAAAACTGAAAACACGCAAATGAAAAAAGTATTATACTTTTAAGCCCGATATATCTTAAACAAATACGTAACGCATTGAAAAAGCAAAACTCTTGTGCATTTTTGCAATTATTGAAACATTGGATTGTACACGCGCTAAATTACTTTACGATTGATTTGCGTAAAAGAATTAATGAGTTTCATATATTAAATGCAATATTTTTGCTCTGTATGATATAAGGGTATGATTTTTTATTTATTTTTTTCATTTTTCACAATTTGTCCTAAACCCCCTTAATTTAATAAACGACAAATTACATCGCCAGTTATAGTCATGAGTTTTGACTATGCAAAAAAAACTTACCTTTCCGAATAGGCGCCCTGACTTGCCACGAATCAACTCCAAACTGTCGGCATTCTTTTTCTGTGGCATGAGGCTGCTTCCGGTGCTAAAAGGAGTGCATTTCAGTTGTTTGTCAGTTAGTTGTCCGAACATTTTTCTAAACTTTTAAGCGTCGTTTTAGTTAAGCATGACAACATAAATACTTCAACCTTATATGGCACTTGTTTTATATAAATATTCTCCTGAAAGAAAAGTCATACATAGTGAAACAAACAAAATAGCACACTCGACGTCGAAAAATTCGACATCGTGATTTTTATACCTGTTGACAGAACATCCTTTCTTACGTTTCCATGTTAACAAGATCGGGACTTCTAATATTCCCCCCTAGAGTATAGAACATATCAAACTCGCACGCGATGACAGGCTATTACACAGATGAATAATATATTAGTTCTTCACTCATGAAAATATAGTTTAATTCAAAGGGAAACTTGTAAATAATATATCAACTAAAGGTGAGTATTTCCGAACCAAAGTCCACAAATATTCTCTCTATTGCATGACGAGAAATCAGTTTGATTGAAATTGCCAGTCATGACAAACTAGTACTTACCTGTAGGCATCCGACAGTGATATGAAACCGAACTCTTTACTGCAGTAAAGAATAAGATCCTCTGCCCATCTACTCAGGTGAATCCCTAACATAGAGGCCCAGAACAGGTACTCCGCTGCGAGAACAAAACAATTATTCATCAAAAAGGGGTCTCAGAACAGGTATTTCTCTGTGACAATAACAGGAGGCCCAGGACAGGTACTCCTCGCGGCAATAACATGATATACATGTACTAGCTAACAGGGACAGGCGCTCTACTAAGACTTTACAACAATGATTTATCTATAAATGAGAGCCTAGACAGGTACTCTATGGGGTAATAAAACAGATAGTTATCCGCAGAAAAGGACAAGAGCAGGTACTCTCATTGACAAATAATGGTATACCACATGATAACGAGAAACAGAACATGGATTCCACCGTTACAATAAGAGGCCAAGAATAGGTATTCCGTACAGCTATAAAATAAGATGCTACCTAATACGGAGAACCAGTGCAGATCTCCCATTTTAAGAATAAAACAATGTTTTATCCAAAAAGGAAGCACAGACCAGGTACTCTGCTGTGACAATTTCCTTCCCCAGATGAATTACTCCTTGTGGCAATGAAAGGATATACTGTATAATACAGAGAACCAACACTGGTTCTCTGGTGTGACAATAAATTAATGTATTATTCAACACTTTGACCTACAACTGGTACTCCGATGTTATAATAAAATAATGAACTAGGTAATCAAACAAAAACACGTGTGTTAACTATTAAAATGCGAAAAGTAATTATCAAACTATAATACAATCAATTTATATTATAGATGTAGTAACAGTTTTACATCCTGTACCTGTTAACCAGGATATAGCGATTGATTGACAGGCCATTATTTTATAAACCACCAACTATGGAAATATTGTGAATACATAGCAAAGCAAACCTATCAAAATAATGTCTTACCCACAAAATCCCGGTCGCTGACTGCATCTAAACTATTGCCTGATATCTGACTGAATCCAAGTTCTGAAAAAAACAATTTGTTATAATAACAATGTTATATCTCACAAATTCATGTAAAATCTGCTGTATTTTCATCAATACGTTACACATTTATTTCCAATAAGAGAACAACTTGTTAATAAACTTATCATAAAGAAAATAAGATATATCTCCAACAAGAACCAATTTTATCGTTGAGATTAACGGAATCAGAATAAATGGGAACAAATTTAGAATTATGTTTTATCAGATTACCCTTTTCGTATATTCGTTAAATACAAGCAATTCTCTAAATCCCTTCCACTTTACCGTTTTACTTATGTCGAATATTTTCACAATGTGACGTCATAGTGGAATGACGTCATGTCTGTAATGTTTGATTTGACATCACAATGGTGATATTAACCATGGTTAATTCTCAAAATTGGTTTAGGTTGTAATCACAGTGGTACTCGTGATACAATGTACTACCTTTTGCTAGAAAGTCTCTGTCCACAGCGAAAGGGTTCCCTGCCAGTGCCCCACTGGAAGATATAAGATTCTTATTTAATGTTTGATACTGCTAGTAATACATAATACAGGAAGATTCATATATGTTCTCTAGTGATCAAAACTGTTATTTCTATTTGTCAAAGGATCCTCGAACAGAACAACATACCTTCCAAGTGGTAGGATGTTAACCCTCTCAGATAGTTCCATAAGTCGCTCTACGTCTCTTTTTAACATCCAGGCATAACTAGAAGATAACGAAAACAAAGTAATATAGATATTGACTAGCCGAACGTTACAGAGACCAACATGCTTCTGTGTTCCCTCTTATAGCTGGCTATAGTTGACCATTACAAATACAAAAACGTTATGTTTTATTTTCTAGTTTCAAAAATGTTCTGAACTTTCCGTAAAAAATAATAATGAAAAAACATTTAAACAACAGATAATACAGCGAGCAGCGAAGCTCGCCTTAACGTTGAACAATTTCACCAGTCACACTTTACATAGCATTAATTAAAGCAGCTTGTGGTCGTTATTAAGTATATTGACCTTACCTGGTGACCTTGCTTATTAACCATGTGTGATGACCGTGCATTGACATTGTGTTGACTGTGGGTATTCACTTCCTGTATTGACATTGTGTTAACTGTGGGTATTGACTTCCAGTATTGACATTGTATTGACTGATGGTATTGACTTCCTGTATTATTTTTACATACCTGACAAGTGATTAGCCAGGAGTGCATCACATGTCCACCGATAAAAACCGATATTGACTTGGAGCGCGTGATTTTTGTTGAAGGACTTGGTGTTTCTAAAAATAGAATTATGACGTGTCTCCAAACAATGCACCGTCCCACTTCCGAAGGTTTTTTTTCCAGATTGCTTACATTACCGTTTTGTAAAATAATAAAACAATTGTAGCCTTTAACTTCGGTTAATACCTGGATTTATCGACCCGATAAAAGATATATTGACTGAGGACGCAGTCCCAGGTCAATATATCTTTTCTCGGGTCGATAAATCCAGGTATCGACCTCAGCAAGAGGCTATAATTGAATAGTATTGACATTGTGTTGACTGTGGGTATTGACTTTCTGTACTGTTTTGTATTGACCTAGGTTATTGACCGCTTGTATTGACATTTTATTTTCATCGATTTACTGCGGGTATTGACTACCTGTATTGCTTTGTATTGTCTTAGGTCATGACTGCTTGTATTGACATTTTATTTACATTTTATTATTTTTTCATATTATTTCCGACAAGAGATTGGCCAGGAGTGCAACACGTGTCCACCGATAAAAACCGATATTGACTTGGAGCGCGTGATTTTTGTTGAAGGACTGGGTGTTTCTAAAAATAAAATTATGACGTGTCTCCAAACGATGCACCGTCCCACTTCCGAAGCTTTTTCGTTGAGTTTTTTTCAGATTGCTAACATGATATTGTAAAATAATAAATCAATTGTAGCCTTTAACTTTAACTGCGTCCTCGGTTAATATATCTTTTCTCGGGTTGATAAATACAGGTATCGACCTCAGCCAAAGGCTATAATTGAATAGTATTTATTGTGGGTATTGACTACCTGTATTGACTGTATATTTGACCGTGTATATTGAATGTCTGTATTGACTGTGTATATTTGACCGTGTATATTGACTGTCTGTATTGACTGTGGGTATTGACTGTGTATGTTGACCGTGTATATTGACTGTGGGTATTGACTGTGTATGTTGACCGTGTATATTGACTGTCTGTATTGACTGTGTATGTTGACGGTGGGTATTGACGTGAATATTGTCTCTGTGTATTGACTGTGTGTATTGATGATAAATATTTACTGTGTCCATTTACCTTGTTATTGAATATGGGTAGTGCATGTACGTAGATGACATTTTCAAGTCTACAAAAGCACATTGGCTGTCACATATGAATAAATGAAAATTACGATTCTTGCAAAAAAAGATTTTGTCATTTCCAATGCAAGCAAACAAGGTGGTGTCGTTTTTGCGGTGTTTTATTTAGTTGTTATCAATGCCAACAAATAATACGGTTATATGAATGAAAATACCGCAAACAAGCGGGAATCACTCTTTAAGACTTGTGGGTTTTATTCAATATAAAGAAAAAATTGACCAAAATGGACATGGATATAAAACGGTTACCTTAACAACCAGTGACTCCATCTGATTGGCTGAGCTCTTTGAAGGTGGGTGTAACCAGGCATCAGCACGTCTATTTCTCTACAAGGACAAAACATGAATAAAAACATAGTTCAATTTACATCTGAAAATATCCACGTTACTCGCGTTCTAATTTGCGGGAGTTATATCTTATACATCAAACTACTTATTTTGCGGAGAGTGCTTCATAAGGATTCCTAATTCCACTGTGTCTAACTTAATGATGATGAGAGATTGTGATTAGGAGGGACTCGACTAGCTTATCAACATGCAGATATATCATGCTAAATAGAAGGAATTACAGCACGATCATATGCATGTAACATATGTACATGGACAGTGGATGCTGATATAGGTGTTTTTTTTCTAATATAAAGCCAACGCAATTCGAATGTTACGTGTACAATGGCTACTTTATATAAGAGTTTGCGTCAATACTAAGGTCTAACAACAATGTCTCTATGTCATAAGAGTTTACGTCAAACAGATGAATCCAAATCAAAATATCATGGTAATAAATTGGAGTGGCGATTAGAAACATAAACACTTAATATATTACGTACAGTTTGGCCCTGTTGATCATGACTTTGATAAGGTCAATGACACATGTTTTCAGCTCTGTAAGGGCGTCACGTAACCACAGCCTCATGTCCGTAGTGACCTGGTCATTTCGACTTCGGCCAGTGTGGAGTTTTCCCGCCGTAGGTCCAATCAGCTCCTGTCACGATGGATATAAGTGATATATCACCTTGTCTCTGTACAGAATCAGTAAATAAATCATCAATGTTCTGTCATATAGAGTTTCAAACCTGAATAATCGATTGGTACCGAATTTCCAATATATACAAAGGAAAGAAATAATATCTGGTACTTTTGGACCACAGTCAAAAGTACACAGCCAATACTGCTTATTACATCATTGCTACATCGGTTTATTTCTTCATTTTGTCATTATTAATTTTCTGGTTGTTACAAAAGTTATTTTGCAATCGTTAAGATCGTGTATGCTCCCACTGCCTCAGTGAACCTTTGTTATGTCCACCTGAACGTTTGAAATTGACATATTCGATTGTCAGGTTGACGGGCTACGTACGGGCTTGGACTCGGCAAAGAAATAAATTGGGGATCACATCAAACGAGGGGTAATATTTTACTAATACTAGGTACTGTAATTGACTTAGGGCAATGGGAAATATAGAATAAAATTGAGGACCAAATGCAATACAAGAAAGCAGGCGGAGAATGATTGCTATCTTTTACTACATTTTTGTTATCAGTCTTTAATGCGCTAGACGTGTTATAAACATGGGAAATGAGCAGGGCTACCTTCAGACGCCGCTCGTTCGCGGTGTGGATATCTTCATCTCCTGGTCGTATCTCGAATACGTCGTTTGCCCATTCTTCAGCAACCTTTAAAGAAGTAAACGAAATTGTGTTAAATTGAAAAAGTCATACTCTAAAAGGACGTCCACGGATTAAAGTGGCATCGTAAGTTCAATTATCACACATGTTTTGTGGTTATACAACTATGTCAAGCTGTTCAATGCTACCACACGTAGGAACACGTGCTGAAATGTGACGTCATAAGTATTATCATGAACATCAAGTTAATTATGACATTGCAACATCGTATTGAAGACCTGAACAAACTGGCATTAAATCAAAATGATGTTGAAAAATTGACGATAGTCGGTCAAACCTCGGATTCGTCTAATACCAAGTATTCCTCGAACTATTGATCTGGACCCTACCATCGTGTTCGAGTTTGCGGGGTTTTACTGTATTTGCATACATCTTGGTAATATGATGAATTATATATCGTTTCCATTTCCTGTGAGATTTATGAAAAAACTGTTTTGAGTTTAGAGAAGATAAAAACGTAAAAAAATCCTTGATTTATCATTCTCATAGGAGATGAAGACAATATCTTTTCCATTGTGTGTGTTTGGTTTGTTAGTTGTTTACCGTAACTGTTGATACTAAAAATAGGATAATTGAGTGTAATCAACAACCAACATACGTTCTCAGTTCAAAATGCCATAATGGAATCAATTTACATAAAAACTGTCTCCTGCATGGTAGCTTGACAATTAACAGGTTAGGGGTGGGAAAATGTGAGGGTCTGTTGTGAATGGCCTCACAGGTAGAGCTGTGTACGTAAAGGTCATAATCAGCCGACAGGTAACCGCAAAAAATGGATTGTTTTTTATCAGTCAATGGGAGATACTATGTTATCCATGATGAAACATCCCTTATCTTTTATGTGATAGGAATTTTCACGTTTAGCACCCGGGAGAGTTTATTTTCATTTTGACAAAGATTTCATTGAATATTGTAACTGATACAAATTCAAAAGGAATTGGGCAACAGGCGTGATGCCTATACAAGCCTCTCCCGTGAGAGTTGACCCTTGTAATTATCATGTTTAGTATTACTCTTCAGACATAGCTATACATTTGTTTTAGCTCATTTCAGTAATTCAGCAACTCGCAATGTGCTCGCGAAAATTGAATGATTTACAGAATTCATTCGTGATGCTTGCCAAGAACCTTATCACGGACTATGACACATTCTTTCAACAAGAGATGAAAGCCCAATATTGTATAAAAACATGTCTTGCTGAACTGCACCTGACCTTGTCTAGTCCTTCGCGAATGGCGTCCCTCTCCTGGACTGTGACCAAGCCAGCCTTCTGTATGGCGGACACATAGGCCTTACTCCCCTATAACCATATAAAGTTACAGCACAATTAAATAAATAGAAAGTATCTTCATAATGAAAATACTTATACTGTATAACACGAAATGTTCGTGGGTATTTTAGTTCGTGGTTCGAGACCATTAAGGTTGTTTCGCGGTTCAAATATACGTGGGTTTCCCATGTAAACAAAGAGAAGCCATGAATACAAATTGAATTCGTTGTATTCATTTTCGAGGTTCAAGAGGAACCATAAAAAACCTAGAATATCTATACACAGCGAACATTTCATGTTATACAGTATGCTTTTTATGTCGAATAAAAGAACATTAAATCAAAAATATCGATTAAACCTAAGCTCATTTGTTTGTGTATATATTGTGGCTGATGACCATGGTCATGACTTGAGTATGTTATATACAGGAAAAATTTTCAATCTACGTTTACACATATTGACAGATGTATGACACCAACATTTTGCAGAATGTTTTCGTTTATTTAAAATGTATTTAAATGTCACATTCATTTGCTTGATCAATTTCCCGATGGTTTACTTTAGCTACAGTTGTGAGTACATATTATGTACTGCGAATCGCCATTGACATGTAAACTCTATTGCTTAGGGCGAGCACTGGAATAGCGATTAAACTGTGACAGGTGAGCTCCTGGGCCCACTTGTATAAAACATCTCAAATATAAGGAAAATTTCAAGCAATGTATTGTCTATGGGAAATATTAGACTTGAGGAAATCTCAAGAGTTGAGATGTTTTATACAAGTCAGATTTTGTAACAGCAAAATTAACAGTGACATGTAAACTCCCGACACTTAAACCGAGTCTGCAATAGCAAATTAGCGTTGACATGGAAACTCATGAATTGTGATGAATAAATTACTGGTATTTTAAACAAACTCGTGAATAGCAAATTAACTGTGACATGTAAACTACTAGTGCTTAGAACAGGCTCTGGAGTTGTGCATCAGGTTACAAATGCACTCCTAATACTTAGAATAGGGTCTGAAATATGGATTGATATGTGGCATGAATACTCCTGAACATTCTGTGGCGTATGCAAACAACTATGCCATGTAAACCGATATAAAAAGTCTCTGGAGTAACACACGACACAGAACTTACTTGTTTTTAAACTTCTGATACTTTCACTCAAAAAGACATATGAAAGTCTGCTACTTTAACGACTTTAGTGCAGTTTATCAACCATGACATGCAGACTCCTGTTACTTTAAACACTCCGGTGCGGTGAATAACACATTGCGTGTTTGAACACCATACACATTTGAGTCTGATAATTTACGATTTCGGAAAATATTAACAGACGGGATATTATATGTCCAGCACCTCTTCGTGAACACGGACTCTTTGTCGTCTCGCACCAGAGGGGTCAGTGCAAATCATTACTTTGTTCATCTTTTACTATTGTTTCGTCGATTTTGAGTTCGATTTTACACTTTTAACCCTTCGATCACGAACCCGGCGTCCTACCACTAGGCTACCGTCCTACCACTAGACTAGCGTCCCTCCTCTTTTGTTTACGCTACGATACTCTCTTCATTTTGTTTTATCATTATGATCATGTTTACAATATAAACTCGTAAAGGCGGATGGTAGAATAATAAATCGCTCCAAATACAATTTGACAAACCTGTATGTCCGCTCGCCACATCCGCTTGTCATAGTGAATAGACGCATTGAAAGCTTCCATCACCGGATCCGTGTTTCCTGTGAACCTGCCTCCCCATAACTTCTCTGTCTGTGGGAACAAAAGTCACATCTGAGGTAACTGGTAGAATAGCAAACAAAGGTATGATGTTTTCAAGCCTTATGTTACATCTAGTTTGCGAAAGTATTTTTGCGATCATTTCAATCCAACCTTCCACCTAACAATACTTTTTTCTATAGTGCGTAGACTTGGACACATGATGAAGCTGTTTACAATTACGTAATCAATTATTTTTCCAAATAATTTTAAATATACAAATATATTATAATTCTTCCAATAATTAAAGAGATAAAGTTTTGCAAAAAATGTTGTCATTCACGCTTATTCTCTAAATAAATGTTCTAATGAGATATTGGTCCGTGACAGTCAATAGTTATTTGACAATGACGTTAGATACAGCGACATTGGTAAGGATATCTACGATCACGAAAAACTCCATCAGTAATAATTTACTTCACGCGCATTACATATCTACGATCACGAAAAACCCCATCAGTAATAATTTACTTCACGCGCATTACATAAACTATGTACATGTAAGAAACATGCTGCATATGAAAAGTGATTTATTTATAGAATTGAATTGACCAAAGACCGCAGTTAACACGTCATTTTTAAGGATGGTTTGGTGGCACAGTGGATAGCGCACTCGTCTTTCACTAAGGCGGTCGGAGTTCGATTTCCCGATCGAACGTGAATACGTGTGATCTATAGTAAGATGGTGTTATTCTATAAAATTATTATTGCAAATGATTTCAGTAAAGCGTCACATTGACAAATACAACAAGAGGCCCAGAGCGCCTGTATCGTTCACTTTGATATATAAGAAACAATGGAAAAATATTCCCCCATTCTTTTTACCTGTTGTAGCCCATGTAAAACTTTTACCCTGGCCAGTAGACAATGTTGACCTTTGACTTTACCAATATTCCGTTAAAAAATCACTGCTGGAGATACATATCATATCCTAGTATCATTAAACTAAGCTGACTTCTGACAAAATATGTTAGAAAATAAATCACACTTTGAATCTACAAAGCATAGACCTTTTTGTTGTTCGCGATTTTTTTAAACATATTTAAGCCACCTGCAACCTTGACAAAAGGTCTAGGTCATCTTTATAACGAGACATTCTAGCACCCCATCTCGGGTACCTACTTGCCAAGTATCACTTCCCTGGATCTTTTAGTTTTCAAGAGGATGTTCTTAAAAGAAAAAGTCGGTCAAAAGGTCAAAATCAATTATGTTACGCCATTGTCTTGCATTCCGCCCTAGGTACCTACATGTACTTGCCAAATATTAGTTCCCTAATTCTTTTAGTTTTTGATAGGGATGTTCTTTAAAAAAAAAGTTGAAGATGTAAGGGACGGATGACACTGTAGCAAACCATAAGCTCGCATGCACTTTGTGCAAGTTGAGCTAAAAAGGCGACAAAACCAAACCGCATAAACATGTGCTATATTGTATTAATTCGGTTTAATCGCTTAATACAGTGAGTGTGCAACGTAGCTGGTGAACAATGTAAAACTGAATATTTTTAGAACACCAAAAAATGAGATCTTTTGAATATGTATATGTTAAAAGTGTTAACATCGCGAAATAGTGTGTTTGCTTTTTTCAAAAATACAAGAAGAATTCGTGAAAATTGCAAACGAAAAATAAATCAGTACTGTGGTAAGATATCATCTGTTCGTCACGACTATGCCATACAATTTCAATTCAGTTTACCTGATTTTTTTGACTCTCCGTAATAACATCTAGTAGGATACCTGGAAGGGACAGATTCGACTCTCGGCATCAAATGCAATTTTGCGTCGGAATCCTCAATGGGTTTTAAATATTACTTAATTAAATGTATTTTTACGCTGGGCACCCCTTACCGAGGAAATTTTTATGTACGTCAAATAAATTGATGGTTAATTATGAACAGTAATCTATATACCTCCTGTTTTGATCCAAGCCCGTGTCCTTCACCTTGGATGTCCATTCGGCACGTTCTAGCAAGGTCAGGTGCAATCCTACTACGAGACGAACCACAAACAAATATTACATCCTTCGTCATTATAAATAGTTAATTAATTCTGTGAAATTGTATATCACGTACGCCACATACAGGGGTTCTATAAATAGTATGTTGCTACAAAACTTAAGGATCCCTGCCCCACTTCGCTGTGGATTTTTCCCAATTACAGCAAACTTCCGTTTGGATCTAGCTGTAGCAAGGATGGACCAGGAAGCTCCCTCGGTTAGAGCAATAACATAACAATCTTAAGTCTAGGGTTCAAATCCCGGTCTAATTCCACTGAATTGTACCCTCCGAACACTGTTGTTGGTTATATTTTGTTTATTTCATCTCCATTATTCCTATTAAAGTCCCGTAAGGGGTGGTGTTCTTTCCAGAAACAAGGAGTTATCAAAGCTATAGTCACGACCAAATGAAGGTTTCCAGCACTTCGTTACAGTTTCAGCGTCAGTGGTACAGGAACCTTTAAACAGAGATTTGCTATGACATGCTTCGCTACCCACCAATAAGGAGTCTTATGTCACCATCAGGCTATATATATATATATAATAGTGCTTAAAAATCGCTATAACCACTAAAACAATATACCATAGACGTTTCCACTTTTGTACAATGTTTTGATATTTCATAAAAGGTTACAATATATAAAACGAACGTAAAATAAACACAGGGGATTGTACCTTTAAAATTTGATAATGGAACCAGTATGCAAATAAAGAAATACACTGCACCATACAGCTGTTTCGTCCTTCTATGACTCATGGTTCAGGTTTATTTGAAATTCGACAAATAGTAAAAAGCGTATATCACTGCTTAAAAGAAATAACTCTGGCAATTAAAAATGTCACCATGATTTACTCCTGTCGTTAATGGTTAGCGAGGGAAAGCATAACCTTATGTAAAGTGTCTTTGTTGATCGCAACAAAAGACAGCGCCAGTCTATTAGTAAATTCCTCTCTGGGAGGGTTCAAAGATTCAGGTTGTTGAAGACTATGGACGAGTTTGTATGGTGGCCCTCATGATCTTATTGGGGAAAACGTTATTTCTGTGTCTGTTATGAAGGACGATATTAGTGTTCATTAGTGTTCCTTGTTGTTACTACCCCAGAACCTGCATTGAGAACGTTACATTATTTGGATTTGGCCCTGATTAACATGGCAAAAGTCGATGACGCAATAGACGCTTACCCTTTTGGAACACCTACCCATATTAGCCTTGTACTTTTTCAAAAGTCTCTATTTTTATCTTTCTTTTATTCATATTCTGCACTGGTTTTATCGAATTTGAGTTCAAATTATGGGGTTTTATTCTGTTTAACTGGTTGTAATTCACAGGGGCAGAGCAGTCCAATGTTATATGGTATATGCATCGTAAAGAAACTAACATCATGTTAATTTATTTTGCGCATGTGTGAATACCAATATAGTCGCCTATGGCACCCCAACTCGTGCTGCCTATCCTATCATCATATCAGACTATTTTCATAGAATAACTTTTTCTAGTGCTTGTTTGATACCATTTCTTAATATGTATTTATTTATTCATTCACTGTTTTTCCAGGTAACACTACTATATCCTACCATGTGACGGAAAAATATTAATATATTTTAACCTTTTTTTTTTCGTTGTTATTGAGCATTATAATACGTTAATATTTTAGTATTTTAATACTTTCTTTGCCTTACGGTGTATGTTTATGACGTCATTGAGATTTTAGGCTATAAAAGAGTACCTTATAGTATCTCCCTGAAGACTTATTTTTATAACGTCATTGAGATTGCAAGTACTTTATTTACCTGACGTCGTATTTTTAATGAGGTCATTGAGTACTCAGTTTACATAGGCCTGAAAGCTTATCATGAGCGACGTCATCGGCATTTATTAGGGAGCGGTATCTACCTTTCGACTTATCTTAGACTACTGTATAACCTTCATTTGAGTACATTATCTACTTCACGACATATTTTGGACATCATTGTAGAGTATTCTCCTTATATTAGACTACGTTATCTATGACATTGATGTTTTTAAAACCATTTACTAATCTTAGACAGATGCGTAAAATGTATTCACCAATCCCGTTCGTAGAGGAAAAAAACATTACTCAATCTTATATATTATTTACATTTCAACTGCAAGTTCTTTAATGAGCATTACCAAAATAAATTGCGTTCATATAGCTATGAACGCAATCGGATCAGCGTCATTTTGAAGTTTACTATAATTCCAAGTATACAAAGCAGATGGAGAGATGGACGGAGCAATTCTCTGAGCTGTTCCCTGCGCACTTGACGCAATTGACCATCTACCCATTAGGGATTAATTAGACCCTGAGCCAAAGTCTTAGGAACTCAACAAGGCAACTGACAGTCTGTCACCAGGAAAAGCTCCTGTTAACGACTGAGTTCATCTAGACTTGATCAAGTGCTGAAAATAATGCTGTCAGTGTAGGAATAAAGCTGTGTCACAAGTCAGACTCTGAAACCGTCGCCCTGTACAATAACAAGGGAGGCAGAAGTGGTTGAAACAACCACAAGGACATCTCCCTTGGAAGCATCGCTGAGAACCGCCTATCACGACGTGTCATGCTGGTTCGCCTTTAGAAGCTTGCTCAGAGGACATCTCCCTTGGAAGCATCGCTGAGAACCTCCTCTCACGACGTGTCATGCTGGTTCGGCTGTATAATCTTGCTGAGCGGACATCTCCCTTAGAAGCCTAGCTGAGAACTTCCTATCACGACGTGTCATGCTGGTTCGGCTGTAGAAGCTTATAATTGCTGAGCGGATGTGCCGCGAGTCGCAGTGTAACGTGTTGGTACCCGAAATGGAACCCTATCATATATATATATATGATGCATTTATATTTTGATTTACTTATTCCTAATTGAATATCATATACTTTCAAGCATATGGAGCAAGTTTTGCCTACCTGTTGTATTTTGCTCATGAACTCAATAAAAAAACGGAATGAAAAAAATCCCGGGAAATCTTACATATTCCTTAATACAGAGAATTGAAGGGGGTTTAGAACCAGTGGTTGATATAATTATTAAGCCATAAACAATTTCTTCTTCAAAATTTAGAATATCATCAGTTTTTACGTGAACTGGCCCATATAATCGTGTCTTAAGCTTGTTATTACCTTTTTACTACACACGTGCTCCAGATGAAAAAAAAAATCTCACAATGAATCTTGAAAACATTGTATGATACACTGTTTGTCGTATATACTACTACCTTATATATTTCTCTATTCGTTGAAAGTCAACTAGCATCACATCTTTCAACCGTCTTTTAAGGCCTAATGGTCATCGAGATCCCGGTTGGTCTGTGACAAATGTTAATAAATAGAAGTTCAGCGCGAAGAAATGCAATTAACCTTTAAACTAAGATAGTCCTCACAATATCAATAATATTTTCATAATCTAATTAGTATTTCTTCACGACAGACTATTTTATTTTCTCACATGGCACACCTTTGTGTGGGTACTATTTCCAGTTCTTGATATTTATCTGCCGCGATCAGACATTCTATTTAAACCATAAACATAACCAAATGGGGAAATCCTTTCTTACGTTGTTCTCAAGCCGTTCTCAATTTAACGAGTATTCTCATACTGACAACAAGTGATGATGAGTTTGTACTGCTACAGGTAGGTATTTCAGAATAGCATATAGCTGATTAAACGTACACCATTATATATACGCCAGATACTCAAACAACGTCAAAAATACTCTGTCAGGTAGAAAACGAAATACTATTATATGAACCTAAAATTGTCATGACGTCATTGGAAAATGTCGCCAGGTAGATTGATAAAAATCTACAAACAGTATCTGAGCCAGATCTTGATTACCGCTATATCTACGTAATGGGTGTAAGATAACTTGCCCCATACAGAACACTCATGTGGGATTAAAAAAAATCACTCCTTGGGATGAGATAGGGGACCTCAAACCTCGAAGGGACAGATTCTTAAATTGCCAAAATTGCCAAACATGAGGCAAGGAGGTAAATTATTCTTTTAGTCTTACCCTGTAGAACCTGATATATATAATGCAATATTGACGTTACGGGCTAATATTTACATTCTGTATGCTTAGACCCATTGACAAAAATTACATTCATAAATGCATAACACAGGTGTTCATAGAATCTCAGCACGTGGGAACTGATAGTAACCTGATCACACTGCGTAGTAATACACTACAAAAACTACTCACTCGGAACGACCGAACTAGATGCTTAATTCTTACATCTTAAAATATTATTGAACTGTGCTTTGTGAAATATCCACGTATTCACGTGTCCTGTGCTACAAATAAACATTGAATATGGAACTACATTTTGTTGTGTTATTGTTGTTGACGGTTGCTAAGATCTCTCACGATAGTGTCACATTTCCCCGCGAAAAAACACTGTTCTCGCCACTGCGTTGCACCCGTGTATAAGCAGGAACAAACCCTGTTTATTTGTTTTATTCGTTGTTATATCGATCCACTGAAAGGATTCGTCAATGTAAATATAAGGAATGATATTTATTTTTTCAACATTTATGAGGTCATAACAACAATGGGTTTTTGGACATATTTTACATGAATCGCTAACGCGATTCATTCAATATGTCCATAAACCCATTGTTGTTATGACCTCATAAATGTTGAAAAAATAAAAATCATTCCTTAAAAAACATTGTTGACAAGCCGTAATGCATTGTTGACGTGACGTCAGTGTATTGTTGACGGCGCCCGAGAGCTCTTATGAGCAGCTAAGGTCATTTGCTGGTGTATTTGCTTCCTTGTGATTTTGGTGTCTTCAATGCTTACCGTAACAGGAGGCACAAAATAAAACCTCGATTATGAGGGGGGAGGGGGACATTAATCGCATTTTAATACATGGTAAACGGTTACCTGAATAAAATCATTATGGCGAGAGAGAAAAAAAAAAGGTAACTTCAATAAAAAGTTCTAATAAATTAATTTATTATTATTTTTTTCTACATACTGCTCCAAATAACACGCAGTCTTTAAATACATGCACAAAAAATGCATGAGGTTGCCAAGGCAACGCTAACCCGTATCAACACCTTATCATCGGGGGGCGACAGGTGTGCTAGTGTACAGATGTTTGTCATTTGCGCATATATGAATACGTTTAGTCACGTTACTTCAACATTTTCGTGTGACGATTCAGTGAACAGGTTTATCAAATGCAATGATTTACATTACAAGATGTGATTGGTATTTCATGGACGCGATGTGATTTAAACCCCACAGACAGCAGCAGCTTGGATAATGAGCGTATTGTCTACAGAATAGAGGTAAGGTTTTACAGGTGCGTAATATAAGTAAATCTTACAAGTCATGTTGGTTTACAATAACAGTTTTATCAATCACGTGTTTAGGTGCAGTTAAAAAAAGCGAAAATTTAACATTATGAACCGGATTTTGATCCCATGAATGTGTGTATATATTCATTTATGTACTATACTGCCGTGTAGCTGTTTGTGCGATAACGTTTAAATGTTTATATACCCTGATATAGACGTGCGACACAGTCATATACACACACACACAAACTACCACACGACATGCTTGCTAACAGGCGGTGATGGAGTATATACGTACCTTATGAAGAACGATCAGATAGTACTCGGGTAAGTTGTTGGTGTTATGTGGAACCCTACGGGGATCTACGCGGTACCCAGGGGATCTATCTTCTGGTCAGCGTCCTTGTGTCAGTGCGTCTTGTGTTCTATTCGGATCTGTCAAGGTCGGTCGTGACTATACGTAGATGTGGACCAGGCTGCTATACCAGAGATTCGTCGCATCGATTTTTCCCGCCATGTGTTTGCTTTTCATCTGAACCCGACTGGTGCACGTTCCATGTTAATTGATTTAGGAGTCCCTAATTAGTCTTCTTATCGACTTTGACCAGATGGGAATATTTAACCAAATTTTTCAAACACACGAAGAATAAAGTACTTTGTGGTTATAATGACATGTTATATTACATGTAGTCCCGTGGTGTATACTTTTATTACATACCTGATTGATATTACTAAAGGGATACAGCCAGTGTTCAGTCCAAGAAATACAAGGTCCTGTCTACGTCTACACTTTGTTTGCAANTCGGGAAAACACGATCCTGCCTCGCTACAAGCAGTGCTTTCAATAGAGGCAGAATGAGCCAAAGATATCCTAGTTTCGCTTGAAACTCATCAGTTGTTATCCACTGATCAAATCGACGAACTGAAAAAGGTATGGGTTCCGATCATTTTAGCATCATTTTACACTATGATAACGTGACGTCATTAATTGATCGCCAATGTCGGGGGGGTTGGTTTTTTTTTTGGGGGGGGGGGGCATTCTTGTTCAGTTCAACATTTCGGGAAGTAATTTGAACATTAAAACGGGACAGTGATGAGTCAACTTGTACAGAAAAACCATATGCCTTCGAATAAAAAAAAAAGATACAAAATTACACATGTCCATTTGACGTCTCAGATTGCGCTCGATCGTTTACCAGCATAGGTACCCTACGCTCATGTTATTGTTAACAAGTGTATCCATAGTGTGTTATGTGTATCAAAAAGACTTTTTTATTGTATGAAATTTGAGCGCAACTGTAACTGTATTAGCCTAACGTGCTGATTATGCAGACTCAGTTGTCTAGAGCGACCTGATGTTACTTCGTGTTGATAGACTGTTTGTTAGGGGATACCTTGTGAGTTTCTAACTAGGTGAAGGGAAGATTTTGTATAAATTAAAAGGGAGGAACGTGTTGATGTTGAATAAAGGAAATGTCCTGAAATTACAGTTTTAATAAGTATTCAGTAAATAAATCATAAAGTATTCTTTTACAAATTATGTATAAGAGCATTAAGCATTTAAGGTAAATTAAGGGTACCACCTAGTCAAAATATATAACATTTGTCACTATTGCAAAATATTTGTTTTAGTCCTTTTCAAAAGAACTATTCTATAAAAATCACATACTGCCTTGCATTTTTTCAGAATCAAAATGGTTCAAAATTTGATGAAAGTTTGAAAATACAAATAAAACAGAAAACAGAAAAATTGCAGGGGTCGAACTCATGACCTTTACATTGCGAACCATGCACTTTACAAACGTTGTCACAGCAACCATATTCACATCTCGAAGGGAAAGGCCGAAAAGCCCATTGATAATTTGACAGGGAAAATTACTATAAGTCAGAAAAAAATCGGTTTGGTTCGTTCATCTTCTATTCCGTCTTTGCGTATTGCAGAGTTATCTTCTCTTGTGAGCAGGTATTGATTGTTACGTCATTGGTTTGTGTGAGAAAATTACGTCTTTTTCTCAAAAAATGATGACGTTACTCTCACAAACAAATGACGTAACAATCAATACATGCATGCTCACAAGAGAAGATAACTCTGCAATAAGCAAAGACGGAGGATATTCCAAGTAAAATTGAATGGTGATCTCCTTCGTGATAATAACTGGCGCAGTGATACCGTCCCCGTAATATACATTTAATAATGGCTGATGACATAGATAGATATGTGGACTCATGTGTAACTTGGCTGTTATGAAACTGTCTATGCTATTAAATCGTGTTTAAAACTGTTTAGCACCTGTGAAACTGACGGCGAAACTGTTAATTTTATGTTTACACAGTACAGAATCTGCTTACAACAAACGTTTCATATTTTGATTGTGTACTATTTTATCTTTGTTATGTTTCATAAAAGTTCATATGTTTCATATGGGGTTCTTGAAATATGATTTATGATTTACAAAGCCATGCCAATAAAAGAGTTTTAACATTTTTTGGCAGTTTAATTTTGAATATTTTTTTTTTTTAATCAACAAAAAAAACTACCTAGACTGGCCCCCGTCTCTAGAATATTGAATTATTAAGAAAAAAATATTAACTCAAAAATTTTTTATCACTTGGAAGTTCTAAACTAGAGGGAGATAAGGTAGTAGTAAAATGCAGTTGAGAAATTCTTCATAAAAACTTAGGGGCTGCAGGTAGCCAGTCTAACAACTACCGTGCGCTTCTTCGCTGGTCATTTGTCTGATGAAGGTGACAAGGTACGTACCGTACTAGTCACGGAAACGTCACATAGAAACACTTACTGGTTGTGATAAATTACCTTTCTACTAACCCTTCTCTCTTTCCTGTTACATATTTTTTACTCTTTGTCAGTAACTCTTTCTCATTTGCTTTCATATTCAATTTGCAAGTAAAAAATCATATGTACCGAGAGGAGATACATTATATATATATATGCTAGTAAAACGTTGATATAATTGTTCGTGTCCGGGTTACTAATTTGCATGAGTAATCATGAATTATAAAGGATTTATTTAAGTGTCTTTTCCTTCTAAAACACTTCATTTTTAAGTCATGAATCACTGTTCCTCTGAAAGTAGGAAACGGGAGATCGATACAAATCTTCTAATTTTAATGTACTTAAGGTTTATGCAAAAAAGTGCACAATTTATTTTCGGTATATACCGTATATACCAAAACAAAATCTTGGGCATTCTTTATAATTTAATTTAAAAATAATAGACAAACACGTTGTAAATGCACAGTTAAAGATTTATTTATTTTTTACGTAAACTAAACAATTGCGCTAAACAAAAGCTGTGTTGTAATTTTGCATTCTAAAGTGTAAAAATTAGTTCCGTCATCAGTTGTTACCAAAAAACAATATTATGGGGGAGACAGGCAAAATTAAATTATATAAAGATATTTAATTTTTTCTTGTCAAAATGTATACATGTACATTGATTGATAAATGAGATCAGAGTAATTTATTTAAATAAAATTAAAAAAATATGTATATGAACAGCCATGTATACTTATGTATAATGTCATATATGTCTTGTATTGTAAAAAAAAAATGGAATAAAAAAAAATACCACAGAAATAGATTTATCTAACCGTGAATATACTAAAACAATATATATTTAAATGTATATCATTTAGTCTAGAATTAATAAGTCACGTGTATAGGTATCGGAGTACCACTCCAGTTATACATATATCTTATGTTGACATAGTGGGGATTTTGGTTTACATATTATGCACTGCTCTAATAGTAATGACTGCTGTTCAGGATGAAGTCGTTTCGCCCAGAAAGAGAAACCAGAGACATAAAAAACCAGTATATAGGATATACTTTGTAAATTATTAGAATTAGCACTAACCGAATTTAGGACAAAACACAGTATAGTTATCATATAGAAAAATATGTCATTGAACGCAAAGACGTATATACATGTAATATATACGTCTCTGTTGAAAGGCAATAGATTAGCTGTTCTGATGGAAATTATATGTGGGTAAGTTACATGCAGCACCTGTCAAGACATTGAACTTTTTTTATCAGATACTTTTTAACAAAATTAATGAATAATATTTAAGATGGTGATCTTTTCATTAAATAGTTAGATAATTATTCATTTGGTTCAGAATGAGTCTCGTCAGCTTTAATTTTAGCTGACGGGTTTCACAGATTGCATAGCACTGTACACACACGCGATAACCCTACATTATAATTTCTCATAATATCCCTTGGTGCCTCACATCCACGAGTTCGTGGTTTCCAATACGCTTGAACGTTCGAGACAGAGTAAGAGCTTCGATTGAAGTTTACGATTGACCACGATTATTGACGTACGCGGCATTGGTGACAATTGGTAACGGGAAGAAAAGGTATGGTGGAACAACTGAACCGTGACGGACTGTCGAAACGTAATAAGTGACACTCACAACATACAGCAGACATAGCAGAGGACTTGGTTTGATAATTCCGGTACGCTATTCCTTTAAGGATTATTTTGAGTTCACCATTTCCTTCATAAAACGGTGACAGACCTGTGCATGTTTATTGGCCGTCGTTCTCAGAATTTTTACTGAAATTATTATGAAAAGTCCCTTGTGTTTACATGGGTGCGTACGCGTGTACTTGTGTACTGTATTACATAGTGTCTACTGTTGTCTGCAGTGTATATATGTGATATATACACAGACGTGTGTACACATCTGCCAGCAGTCACTTGTTTTCACATTGACTTCGTCTTTGTCATGTGATTTTGTCCCCTACTGCCCTAGTTTGGAATTAGCCCTGTACAGGTATATCAGATGATATATGCATTTTGCTGTACATTATTATGCTATTTTCGGTATACACTAGTAAGTTGATGACCCCTGTATAACACCAGAGTTCTAGAAAGCACCGTTTTGGCACGGAATTAGATTAGACGTTTTACTTCCTTGTCAGTTATTCTGTATAACAGGAAATTCAGAAAATTAACAGCTATTAAAGGTAAGATCGAAAAATAATGTTTAAACAAAATTATTGAGTTGGATGAGGTTATGATATAATTAAAAAAAAACTATTGATTTAGACAAAATACTTTTGTGAAAATATCCAAGGTCTAGCCTCGTCTGTCAATACACTCATAATATAATATATATACTCATATTATATTATGGGTGTATTGACAGACAAGGCTAGGACAGTATCTGTGATTGAAGTAAACAATTTAATTTCTGTGAAGCAAAATCTGTTGCCTATATTCATATATATGAATCACATTTTTACAATATTGTGTCAAATTGTACACGACGTTAAATAAAAAGATTATTATTATTATTATTTTAAATGAAATAGTTTAGGATAATATGCTTTCAGGCAGAAGATACCACTTGTTTGTTCATGTGGAAACGTATATATTCATGCTTGTTGCAATTTATTTCATATATATATATGTACATATAAATTGTTAATAAATGTTGTCCACATACAATAAATATATGAAATTATTTACAAAAGATCTAAATGCAGACATTTATGTAATATAACATAATATTTAATATATGACAGATAAGTTCTGGTCAATCTTTGCACGTATATACAATTCAAAGGTTCTCAATGATTATGGATAGTTTCTTCGCGTTTTTACTGTAATAACCTACAAAAACATGTTCAAAAATGTCTACATTAGAGGAAAGAAAATCACGCAATTATATTTCAATAGTCAGTAAACACTAAACAAAAATACTGTTTTCAGTTGGCATTCATTGTCAACATGAATGCCAACTGTAAATTGACAAATTAAGCATGAAGCATAATAAACACCAACTGGAATATTACCAATTCTGTGAAGCAGGCTGCTAGCGTTTCATGTCTAATTTGTCATGTTCCAGCTAGCATTCATATTGTCTATGAATGCCAATTAAATGCTGTTCAATACTTGCATTGTGTAGCTGGCTTGTTTAATTTATTGAACAGCCATATTCAAAAGAGGATTAGTGGTATGGAAATGTTACATTTATGACGTCATAACAATGATGACATTACAGCATGGGTCATTGCATTCATAGTCAGTTTGAATGCCATGTTAACTTGGTTGGATCATATTGTGACTATTCAGTAGAGTGGAAAGTATTGACAACAGGTGCTTGAAATCAATGTCTCTATAGAACAAAGTAACGTGTCACGGTGACCATCCTATTACCATTCAATGAAATGTTATATAAGACGATAACACACCATTTTTTCCAATATTCTCATTGGTTGAATTATAATCATGTGGAGGTTTGTTATTTGTGATATTGACTCTCAGGAGCATCCTTGGCCAATGGGGTCTTAATTTTGAATAAACGAAGGGTGTTGCCCCTCTGGGTCCAGAGGGATGGGGCCCAAATTTGAGGCATAAGTCTTTAAAATCCTTCTTCCTCTGTACCATTGGATGGGTTTCTAGAAATTGAAGGGTAATATTCTCCTTATGACATTACTTTAAAGACTATTCTACTCCACCTGATATTTTCATCCATAATTTTAATCAATATAATCTTCTCAAAATCATATTACAGACTAACATTATATGAAACTAGAGCTGCCTAACTCATGGTACCATGGTATGCTTATCATACGATACATATCACGATACAAATATCAAATTCGTCAGACTTCAATAGTAATACTATTGAAATAATTTTGTATAATTTTTAGTACTTTTGGGTGTGACTATACAGTGGACCATATATTCTGAATAATTATAAAAATAATAATATTTACAGTTTGATAAAGAAAATTGATTGATAATTTGATACTGTTCGTGTATCGCGATACAGGCAAACAAATTGATTCAATTTGATACACAAGATAATTTCACAATAAGATACGAGACAATATTGTTGCAGCCCTAGGCCTACATGAAGTTGATGTGAAGACCTATATTATACGTAGTTCTAGTGTGGTAAAACAAGTTTGAATCTTACTGTGATTTTGTTTTCACTTCTTTTCAGATGATACAAGTGTATAGCCCCTAGCTGCTAATAAACAAATTGTGCCAAACAATCAATCTGGATATCAACAAGCTGAATTATTAACGAACATATGCCCTTGAATTGATTTCCTGAATGACCTTGAGATTTTGTTTGACTGACCTTGAGTGTATGATCTGATGGGTGCAGCAGCAGTGCGAGGGCAAAATGGCACAGCGACCTTCACCTTTCAATCTTCGGGCTACACAACCAATGTGAACTTTAATCGGGGCCAACAACAGTCGACTGCTCCAAACATCATGACGTGTGAAGCTTGCCAAACAAACTTCAATCTTTTCAAGAGAAAGGTAAATTTTTCAAAAACCTAAAAGTGACGGGTCAACCTCTTTCAATACACCAGATCGTAATCTAAAGAGCTTGCATTGGTAGGCATACAATGAATGATAATTAAATTTATAAGATTTGAAAAGTTTCTTAATATTTTTATGTGTCTACTTCAAGTTTTATTGCATATCAGAAAATAAATACATTGGAAAAAATTTTATAACAAAGAAACATCCTACTAACATTTACTTGTGTATATCATTTCACAACTGCTATTTGGGATGATTTTTTCATGAAATTATATTTTTCATGAAAATATTTCATTGATGTACAGATGATTTAATTACTTCATGACGCTGTTTCAATGGAGTAGTTTAATAAAATTGGTAAACTTGACCTTTAAATATAGTATTAAATAAATCTAGAATTGTTTTAAATTATGGAACTCATTATTTCTCTTCTTGATGGAAAGTGAGGGGTTCTGCTGATATATTTGGCCATAACAAGATCACAATAGCTCTGCCAAAAATATAAAGATCGGGGATAGGAACAAGATTATGACAGTTCAAAAATTCTAGATGACAGAAAATCATTTTTTTTCTCCAAATCATAACCATTTTATAAAACATTATTATATTTTTAAAAAATTGACTATTTTTTTATTTCACTTTTACAGAAAATTTGTCGATACTGTGATAGAAACTTTTGTTCAAGCTGTGTGCATCGTTATCGGGACCCGGTCAATAACCGATCGACATACAGACAATGTAACACTTGTAAAGTGCTAATGTCGGGAAAATTCACCCGGTCTGACCTGATGAAATGGAAGGTAAAGGAATTACGAATCTTGCTCAATAAACGGAACGTCTCGACAAACACGTGTAAAGAGAAACACGATCTCATAGATCTGTTGTTTGTCAACTTCGCCAAATCCCCTACCCAAGAGTCTGCGGAAGTAGAAGACTTGGTAAGTTGTCAACTGTTAAACATACTTTCTTTGGTCTCTTTAAATCTCCTACACTGTAATACATGTAATTCAAATTTCTGCATGAATACTGAATTAATCAAGTACATGTATATCATTCAGTTTTTTGAAATAATAGTTTGGAAAATTGTACCGATTGATGTTAGAGCACCAACTCAAAATACATCTTTTATATGACTTGTCCTTTATAAGCCCATAACTCTGGTTTTTAAACAGATTTTGTAGATGAGTTATTTCGAGAAATAGCCCTATATGTACATTGTATATATATATATATAAAGTAAATTTGGAAAGAAAATCAATACTGAGGTAATCACCCTAATTCCACATTTTGAGCCAAGGTTGAATTCACTCTCCAGTTGATGAGTGGATATAAGAAAGAAAAGCATTATGAGGGTGAAAATTTCCCATTTGCTGGTACTTGTATCGAAAATAAACCAATCTGATAATGCACTCATTTTGTGTAAAGGTATACATGTATTAGCATCATGTGGATTTGATATATTGAGAGAGGTTACAGTGACAACAAAGTTCAGGCGTGTCGGCTGTGTTGTGATTGGAATCCCCTTCTTATTAGCTCACCTGGCCAAGTGAGCTTATGCCATGGTGCGGCGTCCGTCGTCCATCGTCAACTTTTTACTTAAACAACATCTTCTGAATAACCCAGAGGCCCAGGATAATGATATTTAGTCAGTAGCATGCTGGGATAAAGGGCTACCAAGTTTGTTCAAATGAATGACCTTTGCCCATTTTCAAGGGCACAGGGGTCAAATATGTTAAAATCTTTAAACAACATCTTCTGAATAAGCAGAAGGCCGAGGATGATGATATATTGCCATTAACATGCTGGAATGAAGCACTACCAAGTTTGTTCTAATGAATGACCTTTGCCTATATTCAAGGTCACAGGGGGGTCAAATATGTAGAAATCTTTAAATAACTTCTTCTAAATAACCAAAATGTCTAGGGTGTTGATATTTAGCCAGTAGCATGCTTGGATAAAGGGCTACCAAGTTTGTTCAAACAGATGACCTTCACTCATATTCAAGGTCAAAGGGGTCAATTGTCTTAAAAACCATTAAACAACTTCTTCTGTATAACCAAAAGGTCCAGGATGATGATATTTGGCCAGTAGGATGTTGGCATGAATGGCTACAAAGTTTGTTCAAATTAATGACTTTTGCCCAATTCAAGGTCATAGAGGTCAAATATGTTGAAATCTTTAAACGACTTCTTCTGAATTGACCATGACACACTTTCATGGTCACATCTGGTCCATAGTGTATAAATCTTTAAAAGTCATCTTCTCAATAAACAAAAGATATAAGGTGGTGATATTTGGCAAGTTGCATTCTTGTAGGAAGGGCTATGACGTTTGTTCAACTTTAAATGTCCATGTTTGACTTTCAAGGTCACAGGGGTCAAATGTGTTTTAATCATTTAACAGGTTCTTCTGAAGTCAAGACACTGATATTTTGCCTGTAGCTTTATTTTAGTTCACTTTTAAGTTAACAATTGTGAGATTAATACCAGGTGAGCGATGCAGGCCCATTGGGCCTCTTGTATTTACATATTCAATACCTATCACCCTGCATACGCTTCGGTATCCATACTCAGAGCAGTGCCAGACTGTTCTACCTACCTGTAACTCATACCATGTTGGCTCTATGACTTCAATTTAATGTGAATCTAATGTTGCATAAAAGAAGAACTTAATGAAATTGTTTTGTATTGTAACAAATGTAGGAGTCACTATCTAGACAGCCAAGTAGCCTGTCTGGTAGTACAATAAGCAGTGGAGGCACTCAGGACACCCACAACTCCCACCAACCCCAGGGACCGCAAACCCCCGCCCCCCAGCAGCCAACCCAACCCCCCGCGCCAGAGTCTGAGGCAGAACGGGGAGATAGGCTAAGACAGAGACAGGAGGCGGAAATGAGACAAGCCATGTTTCGACAAGAAATTTTTGGGGAGGAGGAAGATGAAGAGGTAATGTGTTTAAGGATCCACGTCCCACTGCAGGCAAAACACTAGAGAGTTCTTCTGTGGGTTTTCTATAAATACAGTAACCTCCCGTTAATTTCATTGGATATAACTGTAGCGTAGTCCGAGTTTCCTCTGGCCCTGACACCAGACTTCGTCATTTTGACAGATATACTGTAGATGTCTGGCATTGGGCCAGAGCGCACTACTATATGAAAATGTGGAATTTTTCGTATTAGAAAGTTTTCAGGTGTTGACAACAAAAATTGTTTATGACACAACGCATATATCGATAAATGGATTATTTATTGATCCAACTCCGTTCTTATTATCACCAACAGCTTCACAATTCAATCAGTAGAGTCCTCGGTTTTCAATTGGTCAAAATTTTCCACCCGAGTGAACGCTCATTTTGTAAGTCAAGGAAGTGACTAATCAACAAAAAGAGACGGTCCGGAATTCCTATAAACAAGAATGATATTTTCTTTTTCCGGTCCGGATTGGTACATTTTGTACGATGGTTTTCATATAGCAGTGCGCTCTGGTCCCACAACAGACATCTATCTGTCAAAATGTCAAAGTCTGGTGTCAGGGCCAGAGGAGACCCTGGCTAAACAGTAGCTCAACTACCATTGACCAAGTACCTCAGTTGGTTAGCTTTTAAGTTTGTTTCTCTGTTATGTCCATTGATGGTCAAAGGAGGGCGGGCATAGGCGAGGCATATCAATACGAATGGCTTGTTTTTCAGTGGTCAATCTTCTTATTATGACGTCACATAACAATACTTTGTGACGTCAAAGTTTGTGGCAATTGTTTCCCCGATCAGAAAGAGGAATAATGTACTCCAAAGAGGAACATGGTTATCTGAACATTGTGGGAGAAAAAGGACCCCAAACTTGTGACGGTTGATTATCATGTTTAACTAGTTCATTAAACCTTGTACAATCTGAAAATTAACTAACTGAAGTTGGACAAACATGATAACCACCCATATATATATCTCATTCATCTGTCCAACCATTGTAAGATACAGGAGACCCTGTAAATGAGTAAGGAAGGAAAGATTGTTTCAAATAAGGAGATTTATTGTTATGTCTTTGGATGTTTATGTATCCACGCAGTGTATTATAAAAAAAAATAAAAAAAAAAAATGGTTACATACTTATTTAGAAATTTATCATGTATTAGCTCATTATAAATAACGGTAAAGTATCAAAATCAATTCTTTTCTTCATGTTATAGGAATGATGTAGCTGTAGTGATCAAAAAACAATGTTCGTTACCTGAAAAATTGTATCAGACGAATGGCAATTTTATTGCCCTGATGTAACTGCAGTAAAACCTTGTTATACTGATACCATTTATCATGAGAAAAATTAGCATTGAGGGAAACATGTATGGAATTCTTAAGGAAAGAAGCAAAAAGGAACTTCACATATGATGGCAGTAAACGAGGTGGCAAAGGGATTGGGTGGCATTACGAGGTTCCGTTGTACACATGTATGTTAAGATTACATTGTATCCTTATTACCATTATAGGTTCCTCGGGAGACGGCCACACCTCGCGTGAGGATGAATCTGGGCCAAATCAACTCACTGGAGGATGTTGACAACCTCACAGTCCGGCAGCTAAAGGAAGTCCTGGTCACAAACTTTGTCAATTACAAAGGCTGCTGCGAGAAACCAGAGCTGGTCGATAGAGTCAAGAGGTTGTGGCGGGAACACAAGACCAACGAACAAAAAGGTAAAAGAAGTAAAGTTTTCTGTTAACGTTTTATAGAATGGGAATCATTAAAACAGCGTGCGATCTGCAGCCGAATTTTATAAATGATTGATTTTAATGAAACAAAGTCAAAATGATCATTATGATATGGAGTGATCAGATTTTCGTTTTAACAATTTTTGTTCGAGTTATGTCCCTTTTCTGATTTCTGTTACAATATAAATATGGTTCAGCATGCTACTTCTGCTATTCTTGACCAATTATAATGCTCGTTATGATAGGAAGTTATGTGCCCTAGTTTGTATGTGTCGCCCACAAAGCAGAAACGATATAGAAGGATCCCTATGTGACGTCAGTGACTTCCACATGGTTGGCACAAAAAAATTTTTGTCATTTCAACCAGTTTTTCCCAGAGAAATACCCCTTTTTCTATTTTGTGTACAATTTTACGGAACTTATGCCCTTTTCATAAAATCTTTATTGGTTTCTTTGACTTAGAGTTCTAATTCTCTCTCAAATCATTCTTATATAAGTATAATATGAACAATATGTGCATGTATACCTGTATGGACTAGATTCATATATTATATGGCTTTCAAGTTTTGAGTAAAGATCAGAAACCAATACTGCCTTGATCCTTTGAAAGAACATGTTTATCTGATCAAGCTGGACAGGTTTAACGACATGTAAACATTCATTTTATCAACTGGTTCTTCCTTTATTGCAAAATTAAGAACAACATTACCTTACTCTAAATTGTCACTCTCAAATAACACGTAAATATTTTAAATTTGAAGAATAAAAATCAACTTTAAAAGAACATGTATGTGAGATATGGATAGCAATTTAAATAATTTTGCATTTTCTTTTTACAGTAAAAGATATAGACTCACCAGAATGTAAGTAGACTTTTAAGTAGACTTATATAAAAACCGTCTTTTTAGAATAATATTATTAAAAAGGTATAAATAATTGACTGTTCAAACTCAGCAATAGTTAGACCAAAGCATATAGGGGTTGTTTTTGTGTGCTGAAAACTCTTATTAATTTCATACTTTTTGTGATATGTTCCACTATAAATAACTTTTCACTTACACACAATCTGTAAAAAAAAAGGGGTAAATACATGTAGGTAATAAAAAAAAATTGTATTTTTTTTTTTTTTTTGTATAAAGTTTATATAGGAGAGTAATTTACACTTCAACAGTGCCTCAATGAATATTTTCAGAAGAGTTTTGGATAGGCACAAAAAATGAGGGTAGGTAGGGTTACCTGAAACAAACAACACTTATTATTTGGCTTTCCTTATATGTGTAATCAGTAGAAAATCAAAGTTCAATATTTGTCCTTTCCAGCTAAAGATCAGAAGGCGGAGCCAGTAACTGGAGAGAAGCCGGAGGATGATATCTGTAAGATCTGTATGGACGCCGCGATCGACTGTGTGCTCCTGGAGTGCGGTCACATGATCTCCTGCACACAATGTGGGCGTCGCCTCAATGAGTGTCCGATTTGTCGACAGTATGTGGTGCGAGTCGTACATACCTTCAAGAGCTAAGGACAGTTGTGGATATAAGGACCATGGTTTGTGTATGGTGTGATTATTTATGTATTTGTATCTGACAGGGGCCTACAAAGCTGTCGAGCAGCAATATTGGTTAGAAGGATATAGGGGCACCAAATACACTGTATTGGTGAAAAAGTTTGCGGCGAAATTGGTTTGAAAATTGTATAGGGGCAGTAAATTGGTTAGAAAATTATTGATCAGTGTTTGTTTGAAAGCTGTTTGTAAAGGCAGTGATATATATGTCAGAAAGTTGAAGGGTAGTGATATTTGTTAAAATTTTTGGACATCGATATTGGTAAGAAACTATAGCCTAGGGTAGATATCTGCTACACTGTAAAAACAGAAATAATTCACATGTTTCATTTTTCGCTTTTCCCCCTCCCGACTAGGGAAAAAATCACTGACCTGCGTCAAGTACCTGACAACTGCCCCACTTAGGCCTCAAAGCTGCAGCCCAGTGGTGATTGGCTGGTGATCATGGATGATCAAGACGCCTTAACCACTCAGCCACTGCGGCCTCGGGGCCTGGTTATATAATTTTGTATAAATGTTTTGTTGACGCATTTGCTACGATAATCATTTACATCTGAAATCAGTAATTTGTATCTTAATTTTCAATACATACTATAAACTGGCTATCTGGAGTAACAATATATTTGTCGGGAATCAGAGACAATAAATGTTAAAGGAACAATTTTATTTTTAAGTTCAATATAAACTTAAGATACTGTAATGAAGATTTGTGGGTATTTGTGGAGAAATTTTGTAAATATACTTAATTACCATCACTGTATGTATTCAAGAGCATTCCTTTCTTATTTGGACCCATTTCAAATCGGATTGGATTTTAGTACCTTTATGGATATTTTTTCTCCCTATATGATTAAAAATAACCAGTAAAAACAAAAGAATTCCAATAAAAATTAATGTCAAGGCACTGTAAAAAAAAAGAAAATGTAATAAGATACTTTAATAGGCTATAATTTATCACTGAATCAAGGAAAGTGGCAGATACTCAGGAAAGATTTTGCTCTTTTTGAAGAAATTGAATTGAAACATTTTGTTATGTATAACTACATATTGTACAAAACATATAGGTTTAGACATAAGAAGACATTTATTTGAGGGGTTTACATGCACCTCTTTTGAAATTAAGTTAACTCATTTACCCCTGAAGACACATTTGAACTCTCCCATTCAAAGGTTGGAATATGTAGTTCATTTTGAAACTTCAGGGGTGAATGAGTTAGTAACTTTGAAAAAGGAAGAATGTCAAATTACTGGTATACAGTACCCCTTACCTAGCGACCTGTCCTCATGGTGTATGTTGTTTAGGGACATTTTTGTCAGTTTTTACAAAAAGACAATGGAGCGATTTTAACAATGATTTCTAGTTTATAATACGATGCTGTTATGTTGAAGTAAGGTCATCTTGGTTTAACACCACGACAGTCTTCCTGTTTCAATATGTACAAGATCTAAACAAATCACTCTTCAAGTATGGAGGTAGAAATGTTAGTAGAACATTGTGATAGCTATACCACCGGAATCTGTCTCGTAATCTATCATTTACTTGTTATAGATATAAATATGCATAGTAGCACTCTATGATTTGCCCACCATGATTTTATCCTGCACATTTTTTGCAATATGAAACAGTTTTGCAATACATTTGTAAGTCAAAGAAGACAAATAAAGAAACTATTAACCCTTTCACCCCTAGGTAACTTTAGTAGACTCTACCTTACATTTATCTGGGTGAGTCCATTATGGTCTATGGTGGTGAAAGGATTAATAAGAATGGAAAAGGGGATTGTAGAAAACAATTTGGTAAGCTAGCTCTAGGTGGCGAAATGGAACATTGAAATTATATCAAGATTATATGCATTCATGGACTAAGATAAAAATCATGCATTTTCCTTCTCTTCCAATATTTTTTGTCTCGCCGCCACGAAGTGGAAGCAAGACATACCCTAGGTGTTGCTTTTCTGGTGATGGCGGCGTCAACATTACGATTTTGTGTGTAAGTTAGTTTCTCTGAAAGTATAAGTGCTACACCAACCAAACTTGGACCATAGACGCATCTTAGGTAGTACATCTCAACCCATGCATTAAATGCTGGATGCGGCCTACCTTTCAGGGTCCATTGACTTGGTCAGCATCTCCATCAACATGATTTGTTTTGCGTTTAAGTTAGTTTCACTGAAAGTAGAAGTGTTACACCAAACTTGGACCATAGATGCATCTTAGGTAGTACATCTCAACCCATGCATTAAATGCTGGATGCGGCCTACCTTTCATGGTCCATTGACTTTGTCAGCATCTCCGTCAACATGAAGTTTTTGCGTTTAAGTTAGTTTCTCTGATATGTGCATTGAAGGTCAAAGCAGGTCATAGGCGAGACATATCAATCCGAATGGCTTGTTTCTTTTATCATGAACTTTGGATGCAAATGTGTTACTTGTCTACTATGAATGGATTTACTCCTGAATCATACATACATAAATGTATATCAAAACTAAGTCTCTGTCATAAAAGAATGTTTTGATTTTTTTTTACTTTTTAATATATAATAGATATTGATAAAACTATTCATTATATTATCATCCAATCAAAATTAATAATTTAATGAATTTTTTTCTGTTAATGATAAATGTTACTTTAGGTGAAGAATCTATTGTGATGATTTAATGTCTGTGTATATACAAGTTTACCAGGTAAGCTTTGTCAAATTATGGTGAAGACGAAATTTAAAATGTTTATTTTTGTAGCACACAAATAACAGTTGAAGGTGATGAAACTTCAAAAGTCATGATTCCATTTGTAAATTTCCCCCATATGATGATATTAAACACACTGGCTCATTTTTGATAAATTAGTGACGTGAACTACTGAAGTTTGTAGTGAATTTGTTTTGTGTGCGCCTGTACGTGTATATTTGCAAGGATTCTGGTCTCAAGTAAATCATTCAATTCGTCAGACTTCATTAATTAACCCTTTCATCACTGTAGACCATAATGGATTCATCCAGATCAATGCACGGTAGAGTCTACTAAAGCTACATAGAGGTGAAAGGGTTAACCTGTATACATTTCTTTCCAAGGGTATAGACTTTCGTGGACAACTGAGGTTTGTTTTTTGGTGGTTTTTTTTCTTTTTTAAGAAATGGACATCAGGTATAAGGGAATCAATCTCAAAAAAATAATTAAATTGGGATTGAATATCACTTCATCCATGAATATTCATTTAGAAACTATTGGGAAATTATCAAAATCATGTTTCCACATGCTGTGAAAAAACCTTGGGGAATCGTTGTCCAAGACCTACAGGCAGAGAGGACTATGGTTCCACTTGGATGTTGGGGATCGTTGGGAAAAAAAAGTCAATTTAAGTTTAGGTTAGACTTTTAGACTTGGTACTCATAATAATTGCTTTATTTATTACAAAATAATTGTGAAAGTTTATGTTAGAAGTAAATTCACATGTCATGATGTGGCTTCACATGTCATGATGTAGCTTCTGATGTGGCTTCCCATGTCATGATGTAGCTTCTTATGTGGCTTCACATGTCATGATATGGCTTTTGATGTGGCTTCCCATGTCATGATGTGGCTTCCCATGTCATGATGTGGCTTCCCATGTCATGATGTAGCTTCTTATGTGGCTTCACATGTCATGATATGGCTTCTGATGCGGCTTCACATGTCATGATGTGGCTTTTGATGTGGCTCCCCATGTCATGATGTGGCTTCACATGTCCTGATGTGGCTTCTGATGTGGCTTCAGATGTCATGATGTAGCTTCTGATGTGGCTTCTCATGTCATGATGTGGCTTCACATGTCATGATGTGGCTTCTCATGTCACCTGTTTAATCACTGCGCACATCCACTCCCAGTAAATTCTATTTCACCTATGATAAAATAGACTTCTCCTGTATCCATGCATAGAAATATGATGGCCATGGTACAGGTTACAAACTATCAAGATGGGATTTTACAGTATATCAAGGTACAGAGATGTTGCTACATATATTTTACCCTTAACTCATTCACCCCTGAAGACACATTTGAACTCTTCCAACTCAGAGGTTGGAATAGTTCATTATAAAATTTCAGGGGTGAATAAGTTTATATATTATTGAACCATTTTTAAGTCCTAAGCAAACCACAAACAATACACCAGAATTAAGCAAGAACCCACCTTCTATTGAACTATAAATATTTTCTTTTCTTACTACAATCAATGCAGTAGTATATTAAATTTTTTAAGTTTGTTCAATTATAGATAATTATGGTTTGAACACTTGGACTCAATGCATGCGTAAATATTATCGTCATTCTTCTTTACCTGCTGTTCATGTAGATAGGTATGTGTTAATTATGTACAGATGTTAATAATAAGGTATGAACGATATTGGGTGTCTTTGAAGGATAGATAAAAAAAACTTATACTTAATATTTGTGCTTGAGTTGTTTTATGTTATAACTATAAATGGACGTTATCCAATGTCTCAGAATTATCCAAGAGTTAAAATATGAACAAAATGTATCCTTTAACTCTGAATTACCAGAGTGTTAAAGATGTAAATTATCCAATGACGGAGGATTATCAATGTGTTAAAAATATAAACGGAAATTATCCATAGAGTTAATGTTGCATTCTTTAGATATGAATATTAGATATCCAAGGATTCAGTATCATTAGGGTGTTTTCATTGTATGGATTCTTGTGTATATTTCAAGCATGCATGTGTCCCTGAATTTCACAATCTCATAAACATGGTCTTGAAAATGCCAAGTAAGTCATTGTAGGGTGGCCTGATGCTTTAATCCATCAATTAACAAACTGTAAAACCATCTCTAGCTAAGGTGATGCATTTTGGAAATCAAAGAGGATTTCTGTCTGCAGTAATACTAATGATTCATGCAAAGTTTTATTTAGTTCAATCTGAGACAGGGGTTTTTTTTCTCTTTTTTTTTTAAAGAACAAATACTGTGTTATGAGTTGTAAGAAATATATAAATCAGTCTTTAATTGATTTTTTTGACTACCTTGACGATTGCACAATGTAATGTCACGTACAACCTTTCATGTTTTATTATGTGAATAATTTCTGTAATAATTATCTTTGTTATTGATCAGATTGTGTGCCATCAATTTTTTTCAGTAGATTTTATGTTTATTTCATTTTTTTTTCTGTTTTATATCGAATTTGATGAACGTAGAAATATTTGGAGCATATTTATGTTTAAAATTTTGATAATTTTTTAACAATATTGAATTGTCGGAAGTTCCAATAACATATGATATTTATTTATTTTTGGTGTGTTTTTAAAGGTACCAAGTACTTTGTGTGTACATATTGTATTGTGTTCTGTATGGAAAACAATAGCTGTAATGATCAACAATAACTTACCATAATCTTTACAGCTTACAAGCAACACTTTAGTGTATGGTGTATATAGTTATTATTGTAAAACAAAACTGTGCTTTGTTAATGTCTGCTAAATTTTGTATTGACTTTTTTATTATGACTAACGATAAATAATTGGTCGAGTGGATAATTGTTTATCTTATATTTGTATGGAATTCTATCTTCCTTGATTTTAGTATTAAAAAAATAATTTAAAACAAATGAAAACATGAGTTGTTACTTTAAAAACAATAAGTTCATATTTTTACTATGAATCATTGTGGGAACTGTGGGGAATTTAAAAAAAAAAATGGGTGACCAGATATTTTAAAATTTTTAAAATTTGAATTTTGAAATAGTGTAAAAATGTCACAGTATTGTTTTTTTATCTTTATGTTTTTTTAAATTCACAGTTGACTGTTCTGTAAATACTTCATTGCATTAAAGATATTAATGAGAATTTTTTAATTAACGACAGGAACAGATATACAGTAGAATGCTACATATCCTAACACCTCAGGTGTGTCCCCGGAGTTAATAGTCCTGTTTTAAATCTGTATCGCATTTCTAGAACATAAAAACTCTGGGAAGGCCAGACATTTACACAGTATGTGCGTGTACACTGCGGTGTACGGGGTAATAATCATGAGACACAAAAAACAGTATTTTCAATCAAGCTATTATGAAAATTCGTATTTTCAATCAAGTTATATTAGGAATTCAGAAACAGTCATTAAAGGCACAAAGCAGTACAAATATAAGGTAGCATAACAGTGCTTGCTTGTATAATTTTGGCAGTGATTATTTAATTGGTGACATAATATAGTGACCTTGATCCAAATGTATTTAAATTTCAATGGCTATGAGAGAATGACCTGACCACAACTACATGCAGTTACTGAGCAATTGTACATGTTTATATTAAAATTTACATCAACACAACGACAGCATAAATACGAGTTCTAGTCCCCTGATATTTTTGGAAACAAGGCACTCTACTACTAATAATAATAAGTAATTCGAGGTTCTCATATACCGCTTTATCACAACCCAGTTAATTTGTAGGTCGTCTCAAAGCGGTTCACAAATTATTATCCGTGGTTATAGGGCCTTTGCAACCAGCCAATATCTTTTTCAACTCCCTGGGGAGCATACAGCCGGTGCTGCCATTTCGGGGCTCACAGCTAGCATTCAACAATTCTGGCACTGCCCAAACACGTACTCATTTACAGCTAAGTAGACTGGAACAAGCGGAGTGCAATGACTCGAACCTTCGGACACGAGCCCACCCCCTGCTGCTGTATGTTGCTAGTTCAATAATATATCTAAATATAATGCATGAGATGTTTGAATTAATGAATGTCTTCCCCATGACAGTAAATTACCTCACTGTTGGATATTTCAGTTGGTGAACATGTTACAGTTTTACCTGGGCACGAAGCATGAATATCAAACATCTTCAATTAAAATGATAAAATCCTGATTTGATATTCTGATACAGATTTTTAAAATGTATTTCTTTTTTCTTTTAGATAACAAATAATTGGGTTCAAATTATTATAATGTAATATTGGAGCTAGCAGATCCTATAATTGTGGTGTGTTGATCATGATTTTATCCTAAACTAGTATTTTGATACATGTATATTCTAGTAAGAATATAAGTTTATTTGAACTGATAAACCTTT